TCCTCTTTTGTGAGTGTCTTTATAAAATATGGTGAATGCTGCGGCTGTGTTTCACAAGTAGAAAGGAGGCTTTTAAAAGTATTGGTGTGTATCAGGGGTATATGCACACCCAGGTTGATACTGGCGCAGTTTATAATATCTAAATCTTGGCAATAGCCCAAATGCCCATCAACCGATGAACAAATAACAAACATGTGGTTTTAAAAAAATAAAATGGAGTACAATTCTGCTGTGAGAAGGATAATCTTGAGACAGTTCTAGTTAAATGGATGCACTTTGAGAACATACTCTTTAAGTGAAATAAATCAGACACACGTATAAATATCATATTGTTTCTCTGGTGTGAGAAACCAAAGTTTAAATAAGGACCAAAATGTATAATAGATATTGTGAAATAGAAAATGTTTAAATGGGAAGAGGAACTGGGGGGGGGAAGAGGAAGTAAAGGAAAATTTTTAAAAAGATGAGAAAAGAAGGAAAAATGGAAACACTTTTGTAAATAAAGAAGGGAGGAGGGGTTGAAGGAAGGGTTGGGGAATGGGAAAAAAACCCCAATCGTTTATATAATGTGCAGGTACAGATTCCCTATGATGAATGTGATCATTATGTATACAGAAAATGCACCAATAAACTTTATTAATTATAAAAATTACTGGTGTGTGTATTCATTTGCCTTCTTCATCAGCTTAAGAGACTTCTGGTTCCTCCCCAAAGTCAAAACAGCCATGAAAGGTAAACATTTTGAACAGATTCAGGACATGGAGGCAGCCACACCACCACAAATAAAGCCACTCAGGAAAGAAGACTTCCAGAGCTGTTTCAGAAAGTGGCAACAGCAATGTAATAAATGTACAGTGTGCTTTTGGGGTGGATAGTATTTTGAGGGGATCAATGACAATGTGTCTTTTACTGTAATACATTTGTACTGTAATAAAGTCTGGCTCATGATTTCATATATTTTAGGGTGAGCACAGTTAACCTGCAGAGATAGAGCATAGATCTGAAGTTCCATGTGGTGTTACAGAGCAGAAGACACAGTCTACAAAGGAGATGCAGAACTGTTTGCAGTGGTAGATGGACTGTGGTGATGGTTACAAGGGTATATAAAGTGAAAACACATTGAACTGTACATGTAAAATTGATGTGTTGTATGTAAAGTTGGCTTAAAGAGAAAACCAGACAGATGAGAGATCTAGTTCAAATTCTACTAACTGGTCTGTATGTTTAGAAATAAGCATTGCTGACAAACCAGGTTCATATTCCTGCATGGCAACAGCTATGCAGAGTTACCCAGCTGTGCTCCGTTTACATGGTCAGATAGATTAGGGTCCCAAAGCACCACTTTGCCTTTTCTGTTCTCTTAAGTAACAGAAGAGATTTAATTTATTACTGAATGCTCACTATCTGGTCAGCTCTTTTCCAGGGCATGATGATCCAGGAGGGACAGGCAGAATCTAACTTCTTAGTGGACTGCAAATATTTACCCACATTTTCATCAAAAATTAGGGAGTATTAGACCAAGAGTGCTATATATTTATGGGGAAATGGAAGAGATATTTCTTTGTGCAAGTCAAAGACATCCCAGCATATGTAACAGATGAAGCGTGGCTGTGTCAGAATCACCATGCGTGCTTTACCTGCTTGCTTCTCCTGACAGATTACATCCTTTTTCCTTTTGTGACTCAGTAAATTCATGGATGAGATTATCTTAACGTTTCGCTAAATGCTAGTAGGGCAGAGAGACTCGCACAGGTCAATTAGATTTTCCTACTTCTGTCCAAACTGTCCTTCCCTTAGCTCTAGATTTTTCCATTTAACAAGATCTTGGCATGCAACCTGGTCTGAAATAAACATCTCTATTGACAGTCTTCTCTGGTGACAGCTCCTTCTGTAATAGCCTGGACCCTGCTTATCCCCGGCTGAGAGTCATTATCCTGATCTCTGTGGTAACATACAACCTGTGCTTGAGAAATACCGTGGGTGATGCCTCGCCTCCATCTTCTGACCTAGTAAACTTACACCTCTGTTTGGTCAGTGACTCAGTGGTGGACCCTACGAGGCTTCAATTTTGAATTTATGATTTAAATCTTTTTTTTACCTTCAGTTAAACCCTTTTATGAACATAGATGCTTTTAATAATGTGCTTCTATGTTAGGCATAGAAATTCATTGCTTTGCTTTTAGAGGTTGAGAATCTGGTCTGGCTTTTCTCAACCTGTCGTGCTTGCAAGATGTTGTGGTAAGTGACCCATTTCATCCATCCTGGCAGGAAAAATCCATCTGTTATTGCTCTGCTCCCATCTGGTGGCAGTTATCTCAAATTGCAGCACCATCAACATGCTTTTAAAAGGACTGACTTAATTTTTTGTGGTACCAGGATCACAAATTGAAATGCCTTTAAAACGTTGTATTCAGATGCTGGGTGGGAGAAATATTCCATCAAATCCTCTCTTAACTATGAAAGGTAAAAACTATGATAATCAGTGTATGAGCTAATACTTGTATGTGTATTTTGGAGTTTGTGTGCAAGTCATCTTTTAACTTTGTGGAACATGATCTGTGTCACTTTGGTAAAGTGAAGAGGTTGCTTATTTCCAATAAAGGAACTATCCGGTCCCCTTTTTTGTTCTATAGCATTGATTATCTAAAGGGGTACTACTTGGGTTTTCTCTACAATAGGTGAAGTGGAACGAACATTTTTTTGATAATCAGGAGAATGGGATGGCTCGAAGTTCTGCCATGAAACTTCTAAGCCTCACTTGGTTTTTCTCCCCCAAAAGCAAAATTCTTGGACTTAATGCTCTGTAGGACTGAATGCTACTGGTGCAAAGTCTGTAATCCTGTGATTTTTTAAAACATTCCAAGGGCTGGGGATTTAGTTCAGTGGCATACCTTGCAAGCACACGGTTGTGAGTTCAATACCTGGTACCAAAAGAAAAAAAGAAACATTCCAAATATCCATAAATTGAGACTCCCTTGGATGGACTATGTATGAAACAATTATGAATATAAATAAAAATTTCATAGTTTATACTCCTACTTTCCCTGATTCAAAATAATTGCAGAATACATTTATGATTTTAATGACTTGGAAAAAAAGAATAAATACAATTGCATTAAATCTACATTTTTATTATAATACAAATTCTGATACCCTAAAATTTAAATGTACAAAGATATACATCGTAGAATTTAGAAAGTGTGTGTGTGTATGTGTGTGTGTAAAAGGGCAGAGATAAACACCTTAATTTTCAATGCTAAGTGGTTTCTTAAAAATTAAATACTCAAAATTCTGGAATTAAAATTAATGGAGCAGTTTAATGTATTATAAGAAAATAGAAAATATTCTTGATGAGATTAAATTAGAATTAAAAACATGGTAGTTAAAGATTGGATGGTACATTTTTATCTGAGTTCTGCAAAGAACCACAGTGACAGAAAATACACAAAAATGCATTCTCTGCTAAGTCATTACCACAGTGCTCATTTGGGGGAGGTTGAATTCATTAGTTTTTTTTTTTAACAGAACCTTGTATGTATTTTATGATAACTTGAAACAATGCTTTATGATTAAGGCTCTTTCTGGTTGTAAGGAATAGAATCTTACTCAAGTTAACTTGCCAAAGTGTTAATTACTGTAATGATACAACAGGAAATGCCATAGACAGTCAACAGACAGCTACTGAAGTGCCACTGAGGGTCAGGGGAATGAGACGCAATTCTCAAGGGTTATTTCCTAGAGGCTGGAGGTTTCTGTAATGGCTGTTTATTGATCTCTCATCTGTACGATAGATATGCAGGTGGCTTCTAGCTCCAATACTACTTGTGACTTCAAGTTCCCTTACTGATGACTTCCCTCTGTGTTCACTTCTATCTGATTAGTGACCATCTTTGTATGTGGAATAGCCCAACAATGTTTTTTTGTTTTTTGTTTTTTGCTATTCAGGGTCAATGGACAGGATGTGCGAATTAAATGATGCACTGTATCAGGCAGGCAGATGGACGGGGCAGGCAGATGGACTGAGTGTTCATTGTAATTGCTGCTTGTTCTAAATTCTTCAACTTTAACAGCTTTTCTACACCTTGTCTATCAAATCCTCTTAAAAGGTCGTTAAACACTTCATACAGTGCTTTGGAAGTGAGATTGAGGATAGGAGTTCTAAGAATTTGTGGAACTCTCGAAGTTAACAAATAGTAAGAGCATCTTCAGATTTCTGTTAGAGTTGTATAAATTTGTGTTAATGAGTTGTGAAGTGAGGTTACTGCAGATTTAAAATGTACATCCAATAATTGAATCCTAAAGTCTTGTAGGTAGAAGAGCACTTTCATATTATATCTTGTGTCTACCTAATAGCCCGTGGAATAGAGAGAGCAAGAAGTCTTCAGGGTCTGTTGATTTGAATTGAAGGGTGAAGTGAAGAAGTGTGACAAGAAAAGGAGATTCTTGAAATAAATTGATGACTGTTTACAGTACCAATCATTGAAGTAATTGTCTATCCTCTCTGATATGAAAATGTCCTGGTCTTAAAAACAAAGCAAAACAAAACAAACAAGCCAACCCTTGGTTGGATTCAGTCTCCTTTGAGCCTTTGTTTCCTTCAACTAGGTATTATTTAACTAGGAATGATAACCCCACCCTCACAGGGTTGGGCTGTGAATTTATCCAGAGAATCAGAGTGCCTCAAACAGTAGTTGGAATGTAGCTGGGTCTCTTTGCTTCTTCCAGTCATTGATCTATTTATTTGTGGATTCCATGGAAAGATAATCACTGTTCTTCCTTGATTCTGGGATAATTGTTGAGGATTGTGGGTCTGACTCTTGCACCCAGCCCCACAAGTACTATCTGAGTCCCAAGATCCTAAGAATGTCTTCTGGGCAAGGCCAGCCTTGTGGGTTTGCTGACACTGGCATTAGTACCATTAAGAGTGATAACAGCAATCTGCAACCACCTGGTTTTTTGAATTTAACTGAAAAGAGCTTATGTGTGTGCTTCTCTCACAGGTGGATTTGCTATCGTGTTTCTGGTGAGAACAAGCAATGGGATGAAATGTGCCTTGAAACGCATGTTTGTCAACAATGAGCATGATCTCCAGGTGTGCAAGAGGGAAATCCAGATCATGGTAAGACTGCCCTTGAACCTCAACTCTGTTGGAAATGGAGATAGAGGCTTCCCTGGCAGAAGAAAGCCACAGGCAGGGTGGGAGGTGCACTCCTCCTGCCAGATGGGAGTAAACATCCAGGGGATAGTCCTGCTTTAGTCACCCTCAGCCGGAGGTTGAGCCAGAAAGAAGCAATTTGAGACAGTAGAGCAATTTTTAGGTTAGAGGAATGATTTGAGACATTGGAAAAAGCTTATTTAACCACTTAATTCTCAGAAATTGACTGTAGTGTATGATCTGGACACCCTAACCTTCCAAGCCTCCTTTTGTAGCCCTGTATTCTCTCAATTGTCAGGCCTCTCTCCGTCTCCTCAGCTCATTAGCATTTCATGAGCATTATCCTTATGCAACTTTATATTTTGTGCATGTGGTTTCTATGTGGTATGCTTTCTGCCCATGTAGATCAAAACCTAAAAACCATGTATAAACTCTTACCAGTTCCATTTGTAAAAGTCTGAAGAATGATTAAAATTGGTCATTGACAATAAAATCAGAAAGAAACTGGTTGGACAGAGACATATGGAAACTTTCTGGGCCATGGAAATGAGTTATTTTAGGTAACAGTCACACAGGGTTATATAGTCATCAGAACTCAACTGAACACATTAAGATCTGTGTTATTATATCTGTTGATTATCTATACATAGATACATGCATATTACTTGTTAATTAAATACATGTGATTAATTGCGTATGTTAATTATATGTCAAGATTGTGGGATTTTTGTTTTGTTTTTGAAAGGGTGCTGGCCCAGACCGGACACTGTAGCCAAAAAAAGCCTCAGCTGGAGCTAGGGGGCTCCTGCCTCCCCCGCCCCTATAGATTTACCTATAACCCTATACCCCCATCCCTAAGAACCTGTCCCTGGTGCCAAACGTGTGCCAATGAAATACCTGTGCATCTCTAATGGCCTTAGGGCACTGCCCTAAGCTTAGGCTATTTATATTCCCCCACGCCACATGTCCATGAGAGAGATCGCCAGATTCCAGCAGCCAGTGCGCCAGTCTTCTCTCCCCATGTTCCCGGAATAAAGGCCTCTTTTGTCTTATACTCCTCAACTTTTGGAAGCATCTTTTATCCTCTGAAGATAATCCTATCAGTTTTGAGACAGGGTCTTACTATGTAGTTCAGGCTGGCCTTGAATTCACTTTGTAGCCCAGGCTGGCCTTGAACTTGCAGCAGTCCTCCTACCTCAGCCTCCCAAGTACTGGGATTACAGATGTGTGCTACTACGCCTAGCTTGTACATCAGATTTTTAAAACTTCATCTTCAAAATTCATATTTATATTATGTTTAATGAAAGAATCCCTATGCATTAGAGATACATGCTGAAATATTTCTAGATAAAATAATGTAATGTCTTGAAGATTAAGTGGATATAGAAGAGAAACAGGACTGGGCATGTGTTGATCAAAGCAGTGGTGACTGGGAGTTTTCTGGCTGTGTGATATTATACATAATAAAAAGCATTAAGTAGTCTTTCCTTTGTGTTTCTTTACTACTTTTGTTTATAGTAGGTATATTGTTTAATGTGTTATGTTTTAAGTAGTTCTGCTGTTGGAAAATAATTTATATTCAGTAACGTTTTACCCATATACTGCTTGACATTTAGTAAATGGGTTAATAAACTTTGGATGAAATGAAAGTATGAACAATAGCATAGCAAATACATGAGTTTACCTAAATGACAATGATTTCTTTGTGCTCTTTATTTTAGTGCTTTTGAAAAGAGCAAAAAGATACCCAAAAGCGAGCTGGTGGCATCCTTGTGGTATTTCGCCACGCTTTGCTTGCCCGTCCTTCCCTTGCAGGGTCACCTTTTCAGTGCTAGTGAGAGAAACTAATACTGCACTTGGGCCACTGAAAGAAAACTCAGGATAATAGAGAACCTGGTGTACTATGAATCCTAGAAAGCTGACACTATTGGGGAAGAACTGTTAGCACTGTAAAATCAATTAGCCACCTCCCAAGGCTCAAGACCAGGTAGATCTGCTTGCAAGGTGCAGTGTCTTCCTTCTCCCCTGATACGTGACTCCAAGCTACCCTCTCTTCTAGAACCCAGAAGAGGGCATGCTCCGCAGTAGTGTAGAGGCATTGCTACCCAATACCAAAACAGATCTAACAGAAAGTGAGCCAAGGGGAATGCAGTGCCTCCTTTCACACACCCAGGGGTTTCCCATCACTCCTCCTCCCTCCTCTGTGTTCCGTTCTCTTTCAGCACTCACTGCTAACTTTACTTCTGCCGCGTCTTCAGGCTGGAATGCCCCCATTCATTTCCTTGTGTTAGAAGTGCCAGAGGGTCTTTCACTTTCTTCTATTCATTTAGAAACAGTTGGAGGTCTTGCTTAATACTAGGCAGTTATAGTTGAGGAGCTAAAGAAGTGCAGGTCATAGGAGCTCACAGATCAGTGGGCCTGAATAGAAGCTAAGTTACATGGGCTCAGGTTCTAGCCCAGTCATGTATTAGCTGCGAAAGTATTTGTTTTAATTTAGTTTACCTTTTTTAGGGCTTATATAATCAAATAATTGAACTGAGGTTAAAAATAGCCAAGCAGCCTCAAGGGTGCCCTCCTAGGCCATTTCAGGGTCCCAAAGGCAACCACATAGTTGATTCTTTTGATATGTGTCTAACATATGACATACTAACATTGCTAGCTCTTGAGTTTTCCTCCTTGTTAGTTATTATCTGCTATGGGAAGTAAAGATTTAGCTCTGTTCCCTCCCCTGCATAGCACTCTCCCTAAATGCATGCAGCATTCTCATCCTCCATTCTTCAGAAATATCAGTAAACTTGGGCCATGGGTTGGTTGTGTTAATATTAGTTTTTATGTTATTATGTAACAACTATTCTTGCTGAATGTTCTAGGAATAGTGATTAATATGCCTTATTCATTTAACTCTGTTTTTATAGAATTAATAATTGTTTTGTTATTATTCTTTTGATCTTAGTTTTCCCTGTATTTTTCAACTGTGTAACCTTAAACCTAGATTATGTGAATTGCTTTTTGAATATTTAGCTACATTTAGTATTTTCTGTTTTGTTATCTTGAAGACTTTTCCCTCGGTCTTCTGATTTGTTGAAGTCTGGACTAGTTGCTTTCTAGGACTAACAATTTGATCTGCAGTGACGGCAAACCTATGGCAAACCTATATCATCGTGGGCTGGGGGTATCACTGAAAACTCTAAAAGGTTTGCCATCACTGTGATCTAAGCATTCCCTTTGGCTCCCTTTTTTGTTAGATCTGGTCTGGTATCAGGATAATAATGAATTGTGGAGTGTCCCCTCTGCTGGGTTCTGGAAGTGATTGTGTAGAATTGGTGTTGATTCATCTTTAAGCTTTTGGTAGAATTATCCATGTGGGCCTGGGGATTTCTCCTTTAGAAGTTTAGTTTTCTTGATTGTTATCAGGCTGTTGTTTATTTCAGATGAGTGAATTGTGTATGTTTGAGGAATTCATCCTTTCAGGTTGTTTGTGCTTTTATAAATTGTTGTTTTGTTTTAGTTTTCTACCAGTGTGATTTGAAATTCTATGTGTTTTTAATTCCTATAAGTTCAGATTTCTCCTAGGAGCCTTATCCCTCCCCCATCTCTATCAGAGATTATAAGAATTTTGAAGGGAACTGGAAGATGTAGTATTGTTTTTGACATGCAAACACCTATCTGCTGATATTCAGAGATGAAGAACTCTCTCTGTACTTACAGTGGAAGAAGGATGGGCATGCTACACTCAAATACGAGAACTGGGGTTTAGAGTGGCTTCCCATTTTATTCTGATAAATGCTATCTGCTAGAGTCTGGTATGTGTCCTGATACATCTGGGATTTGTGCTCTGATACAAACAAAGGGCTTCTGATTTCTGATGAACAATTGCAAATGGGACTTCTGACCTGTTTGCCTGAAGGCAGGAAAAGATAATAATTATCTTCAGACTTAAAAGGGTAAGAACACACATAGGAAAGATCTAATACATAAGATGTGTTAAGCATTATTCTGTGTTCACATCTCCTGGCCCATATGAATTACATCCTCATTGAACTTGATAATGAAGACATTGAACTGCCCCTGGTGATGTTTAAAGAGTTGCTTAGAACAGAAGAGAGATCAGACAATTCAAGGCAAGCAAATGTTTTCATATTTCAAAAAGGGAGGATGGTAGATTCTGTTCAGTAGGGAGCTCCTCTGTTTTTATATGAGACAAGAATCTAGAGGAGATTATTTTTAAAGATTCTTTGATGTTACTATTAGTGTAAGAAAAGGTGCTATTTGTGTGTTCGTAATACATATTGTTTGAGTTAATTTGTTTGAAAGAAAACACTGGAGGTGGTGGTGAGGGAGTGGAAGTAGTTTTCTAAGGGGATGGGGACAGAAATAAGCAGTAACTGTTAGTATTTTGTTCAGTTTAAATGTTAAATACTACTCATTGAACAAAATAAACTTTAAGCTGTGTTTTAGTTACTTGGATGAGTAAACAGGGCTCCAAAGCACCTTGAAGTTCAGTAAGTATGACTATGTCATATAAAACACTATATCTTGCTTTAGGAACCTTTTGGGATGGCCATGTATGCAGTTAATCCAGTCGGTGGGGATTTTTGCCAAGTTCTCAATCCAGACATTCATCCTTCTGTGGGCAAGCTGGAGGATGTAGGCTGGGGGCTGCCGTAGTTAGGTATAATTGCTCCTGGTTATCAAGATTTTTAATCAGTAGCATGGCATTAATATAGAAGAAATTTCCTAAGAAAAAAAAGCACTGTAGTTTACCACTAGTTTAATGTTGTTTTATACATTTAATAAGTAAGTTGGTTAAGGAAGAAAAAAAGACAACTTAATATAAAATTGGAAGATGTAACAGCTACTTTGGGTGATAGAATGATGCTTACAAATTGGAATAATCAACTGAATCTAATGAGATGAAATAACAAGGTGAGGTCATATCTTGGGGTTTTTTTGGTATTTTAATCAACTTCATGAGTATAGTTCAGGGGAGGCAAATTTAAAAGCACCACAAATGGAAAAAGACTTAGGCATTTAAGTGGTCAATTAACTCAGTGTGACTGTATAGTGTAATGTGACTGCCAAAAGAAAAACAATGTAATTTTTAGCCACATTAATCAAATTATATAAGGTAGTAGTACTGGTTTACTCTGCATAAGTCAGACCAGGCATAGAGTATTTCATTCATTTCTTAGGGCCATTCATAGCAGCCAAAATGGTCTTAAAAATTGTGTAAAACCTGAATATAGTGGCATATGCCTGTAATCCATATACTCTGGGAGACTGAGTTGCAGACTCTGGTTGCAGAATATATTTATATTACTCCCAAAGGACGTGATACCTGTTCACTGTCCTTAGCCCTGGAAGCCAGTAATTTACTCTGTATTCCATATCGTGTAAATGGACTCTTTCAGTGCATGAACTATCTGACATTCACTTAGCACAATGTTTCCAGGGCTCCTCCCTGTTGCCACATGTACCCTGTGCCACATTTCTTTTTACATCTGCATGGTAAACACACCACGTTTTACATGTTCATCAGTTGGTGGACATTTGGGTTATTTTCACCTTTTGTCTATTATGAATAATACTGTTTTGAACATTTTTGTTCAAATTTTTGTAAGAACATAATGCTTCCTTTTTTCTTGAGTACATACATAGGAGTAGAATTGTTGGGTCTTAGGATAACTACTTTTTACGGACTGCTAGATTTTATATTCCTACCAACAGCATATGAATGTTACTGTGTCCACATCTTCAACATTTTTTATTGTTTATGTTTTTGATTATAGCCCTCCTAGTGGATATGTAGTATCTGATTTTGGTTTTGATTTGCATTTATGATTAATGGTATTAAATGTTTTTCATGTGTGTGCTATTTTTGTGTATGTTCTTTGGAAAATTGTCTATTCAGATCCTTTGCCAATTTTTACATAGTGTTTTCTTTTTATTGTTAGGTTGTAAAGATTCTTTTGTATTCTACTGAGTGCCAAATAATTATCAGATGTATGACTTAAGTACTTTCTTCCATTGTATGAGTTTCTAAATTTTTTTCAGAGTCGTTGAAACACATTTTTTTTTAATTTTAAAAAATGAAATTTGTCTCCTTTTTCTTTATGATGTAGGTGTCATAGCTAAGAACCTGTTGCCTAGCCTAAGGTCACAAAAAAGTGCGCATGTTTCCTGTGAGACTTTTTTAGGTCTCTGATATGTTTCAACTTTTATTTTTTGCAGTACCGCAGTTTGAAACCCTTGCACATGGTAGGCAAGTGCTGTACCATGAGCTGTACACCCAGCCTTTTTTCGCTTTTTTATTTTGTGACAGGGTTTTCCTAAAATGCCAAGGCTGAATTTGTGATCCTTCTGTCTCTACTTCCTGAGTGGCTGAAATTACAGGCATTTGCCTGTAAATTGAGTTAATTTTTGTACATAATGTGAAGTAGGGATTTACATTTATTGTTTTAAGCTTAAAGTAAAGTAATCTATTGAAACTAATCTTTAAAAAAATCTTACCTCATATTTGTGTTACAATCATATTACTCCGGTTGCTCATGTTTTTCTTTCTCCAACTTAGTTCTTACTGACTTTGGATTTTAATAATATCATTACAAAGATCTGACTCTGTGTACTTTTAAATTTCCGGGGTGCGAGACAACTTCCAGTTCCTAAATAGGTCCTGACACAAGGAGGTGCTCAGTAAATATTTGTTGGATGAATGACTCCCAGGAGCAGCCCTTTGAGATGACTTGCAGTTCTAACTGATGCCCCATCTTATATCCCAGTTGGTTGATTTGAAATGCGTCATTATGAGCAAAATGCTTAAGGCTACATATTGTAGAGTACCTTCAAAGCTTTGTAAAGTTGTTATTCTCTTTGTGTATTTCTTTTCTTTTATTGTCATCTTTTTTTGAGACAAGATCTCACTATGCACTTCAGACTGGCTTGAGCTCACTTTGTAGCCCAGGCTGGTCTTGAACTTGCAAAAACCCTCCTTTCTCAACCTTCCAAGTGCTGGCATTATAGGACTCAGCCTTCATATATTTATTAAAGAGAAGAAAACAATATGAACTACTTAAAATCAAGTTCAATGCACTATTTTTTTTCTGTATAAAAAAGTAGTTTACACATACATACCCTCTCTTGATTCCTGTGCATTATTTCTGGAGATAAGAGTCTTACGTAGCTTCTGGGTTACATGGAGCCCTGGTGCAGTGAGCATTAGCTAACCCAGAAGTAAAGGGTATGCCTTTGACTAGATTCTGGAGCAGGCTGTGGCTCAGTAGCTCAGTACAATTCCTATTGCATTTTTAGCTGTGATTCCCAGAGACTGCTAGAAATCTGTTTCTGACCTTGCTCCTCAGTCTTACCTTTCAACATATTATTGTTATCTCTGTGTATTTAAATTGTGTGTGTTAGTGGAACTGACTGGCTAATTCTGTCCCTGTTGGCGTCTATAACTGACAATATGTTTCTCAACTCTTGTTCACAGAGGGACCTATCAGGGCACAAGAACATTGTAGGCTACATTGATTCTAGTATCAACAATGTGAGCAGTGGTGATGTTTGGGAAGTTCTCATTCTGATGGACTTCTGTAGAGGTATGTGTATGAACCATACTCTTAAACTCTTTTCTCTAGCATTTTGATTATCAAGGGCATAGGGATAATTTTATTTAATGTGTATTGTATTCTAAACTATGTTATTTTGGTTTTACAGGCAGATTAAAAAGATAGAGAGTCTGCTGTAAACTTCAGGTTATTATGATGACAAGGAACAGTGGCACAGATAATTAAAATTAATGGAAATACAAAACCCTATTTTTGTTGGGTTTAGGAATGTTTGGTCATGTACATAAATGAAGACATAGAGTTTGAATGAATGTGTTCTTTGTGATGCCTTAAAACAAATTATGAAGACACATAATAAAGGCCCAACTCCAGATGGACCAAAGAAACAGTGCGATTCCCCACCCCCTCAGTTGTGTGTTCTCTTCCCCACTCACACTATCATCCTTGTGTTACTGGGTAAAAGAATCCTTTTTGTGTGATGGAAATGATCTTTTTCTCCTTGCTCTAGAGCTGTAATTTTTGGTAAAGCTACATTCAAATGATGCTGCTGTTAACAGTGGTGTTTAAGTAGTTGAAAGCTTGAAGTTGCAAAGAACATTTGTCTTGAGAGATACAAACTGTAGATTGAATATATTTACAGACTTGACTGTGTTTCATATGACCACTGTTTGGGGGCCTGGGTCTTTTATTTACTTATTTTTTTTCCTGCCTGAGCAGTTGCCAGCTATAAACTTGGGTCTTTGTCTTACTGTGTTGTCAGTGCCCTGGGCTCCACTTACATTTTCCTGCCTTCAAAGATACTGTCTATAAATTAAATATGTTGTTTATCCCCAAAATGTGAGATCAACCAGTAATTTCAGTCTTCATTATATTAGCTATTAACCAATTTTATAAAACACTACTAAATTTGAACTTGACAGTCCATTTTCTCCTGAACATTCCTTTTTGGAGAGTAAAATGTTTAGAGTTTGAGCCATACATAGTACAGAGATCTGGATGATTTTGTAAGAGAGGTCATCAGTTTTTTGGTCCTGCCGCTGAAATGCTGGTGTAGCACTTCCACAGCCAAGCAGTCAGTGATGAAGCCAGAATTATAGTCCCAAAGTACAGCCTGTGATGCTGTCTCCTTCCTGCTCTCTGGGTCTGTTGTGCCATCTGATTCTAACGAAAAGGGATGGCGAGTGAAGCTGTGGCCTCATCTCTTACACAACAGGAACTCTCCTACTAATCTTGAAGACACAATGAGGGCAGCTTATGTCTGGGCACTTTGTAAAATAAAGAAACTTATTTCTGATGCATTAGAGGAAGCACTAGATTGTTGAAAACACAAATCCTAAGCTGTGAGGACACTGGGGGTTCAGTCTGGCTTGGCCATTATCAGCCATCTGCTCTGTCACTTTCATCTGGGCCGTTTCTGTGCATAGCTTTTCCTCTTGGTCTGAGCGATGAAACTGTTTATAGCGTCTCCTTTGCTTTGCACCCCTCTCAGGAGGCCAGGTGGTAAACCTGATGAACCAGCGCCTGCAAACAGGCTTTACAGAGAATGAAGTGCTGCAGATATTCTGTGATACCTGTGAAGCTGTCGCCCGCCTGCACCAGTGCAAAACTCCTATTATCCACCGCGACCTGAAGGTAACAGACCACACTCTTTCACTCAGTGCATTCTTGCTGAGTGTTTTTTTCTCTATGCCAGGGGTGCAATAGATACTGTGGGGATATAAAAGAATTTTAAAGCATGGTCCCTAATTCCAGCTTACACTCTCTTGGGGTGAGAAGATACAAAGAAAAAGCACAACAGTATCAGTTTTGCTACACAAGTAACCTCCAGAAGTTATAGTTATCAAATAGTCAAACCCATGATGTCTTCATTTTTCTTGCAATACTCACAAATTCACATTTTCAGAGACATGAAAAGTAATATATTAATTTAAATTGTTTATAAATGCATTTTTAATGTAATCACCAAGTGCCTTAGTTCTGTTCTTTTTATTTTATTTATTTATTTTTCCAAATCCATTTTATTTCAAGAGGAAGGAAAAAAAATGAAACAAAATTTCAAAATATGTCAGTTAAGGGGTAACAATGGTACATACATTGTATGTACATTGTCATCCCCAAATCATTCACCCCAAGCATAAGACATCTGCATTCTAATTGTATTTTAAAGAGAAAAAAAATGCAAAGTGAGATAATAGGAGGGTAGCAATGGTTAATACATTGCATATTGTTATCTTTAAATTAGTTATTCAGAGTACATTTCCCTTCCTTCTTTTATTCAGAGTAGTTATTCAGAGTAGTATTTCCCTTCCTTCTTTTCTCCTTTCCCCCTCCCTAGTTTCTCTTTTCTTTTGAACAATTTCTTCCTATTTGTAAATGCATGTTTTTTTAAAGTCTGTTTCACATTTTGCAAAATATCTTTAATCGATTATTTTACAGTCCTACTGAATCACCTTGCACTGTAGCCACTCATTTGTTGAATGGAATTGACACTCAATGTTCAGTGTAACATTTGTTGAGCACCAACTATGTGCCATTTATGTGCTGAGGAAAAGATTAATGCATTTTAGGGTTAATGAAACCAAGTAAGAGAGAGCTGTATGACTTTCTTAAGGTTATATAACTATGAAAATATGGTACCAAAATTTGAATCTAGCTCTTCTGATTCTAAATTACAGTTTCTTTTTGTTGTAACTGTGTTTCAAGAAACATATTTTTTAGCTAGTAGCTTGTGTTCTCTATTGTGCTTGTTAAAAGCAGGCTGGGGGGTTGGGGATTTAGCTCAGCAGCATAAGTGTCTGCCAGGCAAGCGCACAGTCATGAGTTCGATCCCTGGTACCAAAAAAAAAAAAAAAAAAGAGGAAAGTAAAAGCAGGCTGGTAGGTTCCACCTAGAATGTTTTAGCCTAGAATTTTGGTGGTGATATCAAGAAACCCCAGAAATTTGTATCTTATTAAATGTCTTATATTGTTTTTGTGCTGTCTAAATGATCATAGTAGCATACTTACATTTTTTCATACAGTTGAGATAGAAGTCACATTCCATAAAATTCACCTTTCAGCAGTTTGTAGTGTATTTACAAAGGAGAGCAAAACATCGCTAATTACTGAACATTTTGTCTTCCGAAGTCCTATGTCTATTAATGATTCCTTTACTCCTTATTCCCCTCCTGTAACGCAGCTTTCAGCTACCGCTACTCTACTTTCTGTGTCTGTGTATTTTCATATTCTGGACATTTCATATTGATGGAATCAGGTGATGTCTTATGGCTGACTTCTTTCATTTAGCATGTTAAGGTTCATCTGTGTTCTTGCATTTATTGGTACTTTATTTGCATAGCTATATTCCATTCTATTATATGGATATGCCATATTTTGTTTCTCTATTAATTCATTGATGGGCATTTGAGTCGTTTCTACTTTTTAGCTATTATGAACTATCTTGCTATGAATTTTCGTGTGGATCTATGCTTTGAATTCTTTTAGGTATATACCTAAAAGTAGAATTGCTGGGTCATATGGTAACTTTGTGTTTTAGCTTTTTGGGGAACATTCAAAATTGTTTTCCAAAGTATTGTTCATATCCATCAGCAATGTGTAGTGGTCCACTTTCTCCTGACCCTTACCAACACTTGTTATTGGCCTTATTTTAGCCGTCCTAATAGGTATGAAGAGGCACATACTGGCACTCCTGTGCTAAGACAGTTAACTTACAGGAAGACATGCCTAGACCTCCATACGCATTAGACAGCCTTCTCCCTTATACCTTTGCCTGCCAACCCCACTTTTTTTTCCCCAAGGAGAAAAAGGAGAATATTGGTGACTATTTATTATGTACCTAATATAAATACATAATTTCATGGGGTTCGTACAGATATATAATCCAACCTTGAGATATTTAAAGTATTGTTAGTGAGAAGACATAATAAAATATTTAGACTTGAAACAAGAGATGAAATGAACTGTAAAAGAGTGGGAGAGCTCTGAGTTGGGTGATATGTGGTCAGATAAGGAGAACAGGCACTAGTGGTTGGGATATTTTGAAGGATTAGTGGGATAGGAGAGGTCAGGGAGCTGAAAAACCTTCCAGGTTCTTTTATGGCTGCGTGGAGACGAGGGGATGGGTAAGGGCTGGCAGCTGGCCAGTTCCAGACCAGCCTAGAGCAACCGCCGGCCTCTGCTTTAAATATGTGTTGATACCTTACTCCTAGTTGTCTTTAAAAGTGAGTGAAATTCTTGGTTCAATTCTGTTAGCATGATTTGGTTTTCATTACTGTAAGCAATACTTAAGATAATAAATTCATAAAGAGAAAAGGTTGATTTCAGCCCACAGTTTTAGGTTTCAGTGCCATGGACCATTGGCCCTATTGCTTTGGAGCATGTGGGGAGGCAGCACATTCTAATAGGAAGTCCAAGGCATAACTGGGCTGTAGTTCCTAATTAGACAGTGAGAAAGAGAAAGGAAGGGTTCCTCCGACATTTACCTCCAGTGACGTAAGGAACTCCCGCTAAACCTGCCTCTTAAGATTTCCCAAAGCACCAAGCTTAAATATGTGTATGTGCCTTTGCAGAGCATTCCAGATCCAAAGTAAAGCACTTATGTTTGTATTTTATTTACTTACTTTTTTTAGCACTTATATTTTTAAATGAGAAGTGGTACCAAAATTTAAGGACCTGACCAGGCCCATTGCTGACCTTAGAGAAGAGTTTGTAAGGGACATAGAAATAGGGCAGAAGTGTGGCTGATAGGCACTGTTTTTATGGCAGTTGCAGTCCTTGGCCTTACCATATCCCACCTCAGCCTCTCAGAGTGCTGACGTCACAGGCATGAACTGCCGTGCCTGGCTCCGTAGGGTATTTTAGTGGATGATACAACATGAGACTTCATATTTGTCCTCCAATATTGAGTGACTGATAGCTATAGAATTAGGAGGGATGAGCATACCCAGCTTCCTTCATAATTACCAAATGTGAAGGGTGCTTGTCAGTCCATCTCTTTGCCCTGTGTCCTCTGGCTCCTTCGTGGCTATCTCCTCCTTGGCCTCTAAGAGCTTGCTCTCCCGAGCTGCTCCTTCTCTGGCTCCTTGGCTTGTTCCTCAGGTCACAGCCTCTCTGAGCCTCAGTTTTCTTCATTCATCTACAGAATGAAGAGAGCATCTGTTTGTCAGGTGTCTGAGGGAGAGTGTGTGATCCTCTAGGTATGTTCTGCACAGTAAATAGGGACAGAGAAGAGAGGAAGGGAGGAGGCAGAAGGGCCACGCACAGGCTTTTAGAGTATGATTCTTTAAACAAAGTTGCCCTTTAACTTTTTAAACATTTGCTGAATTGTGTTAAGTCTAAGTGGTGATTACTTCCTGCTCCTCCAGTGTGTGCGTCTCCAGGACAGTAATGCCCCACATTGGGACAGTGCTGCCGTGAGAAGTGGGTCAGTGCCACCTGGGGACAGAACCTCAGGGACAGAGTGGGTCTGTGGTGTGGCTAAGGCAACAGGGCACAGACCTTCGCTCCCTGACCAGGCCGCTGTGAGCTGCTCAGCAGATCACAGGGTGAGATGGCACAGGGGCAGCAGGTGTCTCCCTGCTTCTCTGGTGGCACTCTACCCAGGCTGCCAGCTGTGGTTCTGAGACTGGCTTTGTTTGCCTCCTGCCTCCCGTGGCCATGCATCAGGGCTGGGAACATGTTTATTGCCGAGAAGTGCTGGTAGCTGCTCCTTACGTTGTTGACTCCTGACTGTTGCTTTTTAAACCTCCCAGATCTGACACCGGGCATACCTGGGGTGCTTTCGTTGTGTATTACATTTGTTGATTGCTACTCATACGTGCATGATAGGCAGTAGCATTTGCCCTCTGCATCTCTGACTTCCCAAGTTCTCAGTGAAAATTCCCCACATACCTCTGCTTCCCTGGCTCTGCCCTTGTATCACAGAGCCTCAGCCACTCTGAGCCCCATGTCACTGCTGGTGCCAGCCACCACACCCCTGGCAGTGTTAACAAGCTAGAAATCCTTTACTCTCCTCTTGGCCAGAGAAACTGGTTCTCTCCCTCCTTGATCTCGGCTCATCTGTCCCCACGCACTTGCTTCCTTCCGTCTTCTGCAGGCAGCCTGTCCTTGCAGGGAGGAAGCACCACGGCAAGGGCAGGTCGGTAGGCCGGGAGAGAGGGCACAGGCCAGGGCCGTGGTGGCCGAGATGAACCAGGGCCTCCCTGGGTACAGGGCTGCTGTTGGCATGCGTGACCAGAGAAAACCCCTCTTGCCCTGCCTGCCTCGGGTGACATCTTTCCAGCGTGACACGTAGGACATAAGCTGGAAACTATCTCTGTCGTTAAGCAGCTTTTGTTCTAAAAACAACCATAATGGAAACACTTTTGTGTAGATCACTCAAGCATATTGCTGCCACCCTTTAATTATTTCCTCCATTTTTAATTTTCATTTCTTTGAGGAAATAAAATAGCAGATCTTGAGGCCATAAATGTGGGAAGGTCACCTAAATCAGCCTGTGCCTTTTACCAGTGAAAATTCTTGCCACCGAAAGACTACAGTTGCTTTGCACAACTAATTAAGTCATCAAAACAGAATGGAGGCAGTGGCTCTTCTGTCTTTTATTTGTTTTGTTCTATTGTATAGTGCTAGTTGTCCAAGCACTTAAGAAAGGGGAACAAAAAGTTAAGGCTTAATGAGCACACTCGGGTAGAGAAAGTCAGAGGTAGCCCTTTTTGTTATAAAAGAGATTTTGAGCTCATGGAGTGTAACAGAGTGGAGATTCTTATCCCATTTTTAGAAACACAGGTTTGAAACCTACATTTGTTGAATCCTCCAAGTTTTCCAGTGATGATAAATTTTCTGTGCTATACCTGTTTGGAATAACATTGTGATGAAGAGGTCATTAGCAGGTGGCTCTGCAGACCTTTTAGCTAAAGCTGTGAGCACAGTTAGGGAGTGACAGCTTTAATATCCTCTTCAGCTGATAGGTTGCAGAAAGGTCAGCAGCATCGAATTCTCAAAGAGATGAAATACTTGAGGACTGGCGGCAGTAGTAACCAATCTCAACTTTATGGCTGTAGGGGCTTTGCCAAAAACAGTATCGCTATGCACATTTTCTGAAGTGTTCAGATAGTGGTGTATGAATATCTAGTTGGATCTCATTTATCATGTTCCTGCTGGTTTGAACCATCAGTGGTACGGCACGACTATCACATTGGGCAGCTTGTACCACCGATGGGACTGTCCCACACCACCTGATGGTGCGTTCATCCGTGTACCACAGAGCTATCTGGCAGTGAGGCATAGGAATTATGGCCCACGGTGAGCACGTTAATCTGTTCCTGCCACCCACCCCTTTCTGTCAGCTTGCCACACCCTAGACTGGCCCTGGTCACCTCGCACAAGACTGTCACTCCTTCCCTGCCTATCTCCCTTCTCTTATTCTTGTTCTCTTGCCAAGGTGATTTTCCTAAATGGCTGTTTGCTTGTGCTGCTGACCTTTCAGAAATCCTGCATGCCTCCTGGGTGGCCTGTCTCAGCCTTTCGTTGGTCTGCTTTGCTGACTTACTTTTTCCAGTCTGAACTGTCCCTGCTCCTTCAGTGTGGTATGTGAGTGTGGTCCCAGCAGGTGTGCAGTGTGAACCCCAAGCCTGTTGTACTAGCTTTGTGACCAGAGGCAAATGCACGATAAGGCTTTGTAAGGATTGCATACGCTTCTATAAGTAAAAATGCATGTACCAGTCATAAAGGCATGTGCCTGTAATTTCAGCACTCTGAGAGGCTCAGGCAGGAGAATCATGCTCAGCCTGGGCAGCTTAGCTATTTAGTGAGGCCTGTGTCAAAATAAAAAATAAGAAATACTGGGGATATAGCTAGTACAAAGGCCCTGGGTTCAATCCCCAGTCATGTCAAACAAAAACAAACAATATAGCACACACAGGGCATTATTGGCAGATAACAAGTGCTTTTAGCTGCTGATACCATGACTATCACCATCATCATCCCTTTGCTTCTGTACTTGATTCCTGTAATTACTACTTATCTAAGTTCTTCACTTTCTCCAAGGCCACATTATCATTTCCCCGACAGAGAAAGCACTATAGTATGTCCTGTTCCATGTTTCTAGCTCCCTTTCCAGTACCAGTACAAGCACTGAGCTGGTCCAGCCACGCTGGCTACCTGCACATTCATACGCCTGAGCCCATGTCCATCTCAGGCCTGGGGCTGACTGTCCTCTGCTCAGAATATTCATCCCCAGCTCATCCATGGCTGCTTCCTTCTTCCTCAGGCAGGTCTCTGCTCTTCTCACCAGACAGACCTTCCGAGTGGGCTGTTTAGAGCCATCCCGCTTCACCTTACACATACCTAACTGGCTAGAATTTATTTCATAACATTTGTGTCTACCAGGCAATTATAATTATTTTCTTATTATCTCCAGTGGGACTCTAAGCTCTTTATTTTTTTCACAGCCTTGTCCCTAGTATCTACAAAAGTGCTTGGCATGTAGTAGAAATGCAAACATGTTTCTTTCCTAAATACATGGTAGTAGTATCTCATAGGTATAGAAAGATTTATAGGTTTCTTTCATCTACACTCTCTTACTTGCTTTATAACAACCATGACGGAAATATCAGCTTCTTTTTGCAGATGAGAAACAAACTAATAGAGGCTTACGCATTTGGCCAGGAAATAGTTCTTGAAGTCTTCTTTCTCCAAGTCCAGTGTATTGCCACCCACCACACTGGATGTTGAGTAGCTTGTGGTGGTGGTGACAGGTGACAAGAGCAGCCAGTTTGGCCTTGGCAGTTTCCAAAGGAGCTGCAATTTACAGGGCACCCAAGAGAGGGTGGAGAATGAGCAGTGGCCAAGGTGGCTGCTTCCAAGCAGTTTCACCTTTGTGCTTCTTTTAATTCTCCCAACAAATGTGTAGAGTAGCCAGAGGAGGATTACTGTTCTTAGTTGGCTGCCCATGTGTTTCATCTTCATTCTGTACCTTGTTGCATAGTCTTTCTCCTTCCCCCAGCAGTGATGTTGGTCTGTACAACCGCCTTGTTGTATTTTGCAATTAGTTAACTTTTTAGTTTTCTAGATGTACATCCAGCGTCAGCGGTATGGAAGCTGACTCAAATTCTGAGAGCGCACTTGTACAGTAGGAGAAATGTGGTTTCACATGGCCTTGCAAGGCACGTGAGGCCAGGGAGGGAGACTGCTGCCAGATTACATTAAGATTTCGTCAGCAACAAGGATGGATGAAAAGTACTAGACCAGGTGTTGTAGGGGATACACAGACATAACACAGTGTCTTGTACCCCAAGTTTTATACGGTATTTGAGAAGGCAAGCGTAAATCCATAAGCAATACCAACCCATAGGGAAAAAATGCTAAATGATTATCTGTGATTATTCAGCCCAAAAGTTGGCAAACTTTTTCTGCAGAGGACTAGATAGTAAATATTTTAGGCTTGTGTATCATAAGATTTCTATTGCAACTGTTCAAATCTGCCATTAGCAAAAAGCCTTCATAAACTGTGTAACCAGTGGGCATAGCTTGATAGGTCTGCATATTTTGAGAGATACTCATGGAAAGTTTCACTCAGGAGTTGGAACTTAAGCAAGATCTTGAAGAATAGCTAGGGTTTGGTGGGCAGACAGTGAAAACTGAATGAAGGACAAGTTAGGCAGAATAAAGAAGGCTTTGGAGGCCTTGATCAAATCAGTGTGACTGATGTTTAGACACATGGCTCCTCGTGGACTAGATTTCTATTATGAGGCATTTTTGAACATACAGAATTAAGAAAGCCCTGTCCTCCACACTCGTACAATGCACTGGGAAGGTATGCAGGCGTCATGGGTCAGCTCTTCCTCATGCTGGACTTTCCATCCGTATAAAATCATAGCCCTCAACAGAGTTGGAGCGTGGGATCGTTGAATAGTTGCTCTGCTTTTGAAGTCTGTGCAGATGCTATAAATCACTGACTTTCTGCTTCCTGCCCTGATAGAAGTATAACTTTCTGTTCTTTTCTAGAGTCAGATTGCTTATACTCACTTCCTATTATAGCTCTACTATCTATTAGCTATATGATATTTAGAAGGAGACTTAATCAGTCTAAGCCAAACTTTCTCCATCTGCAAAATGGGGATCATAATATTATTGTTATTAAGTGGATTTAATGGAATAATCCATGAAAAGTATTGTATATATAGAATTCACAGTTGTACAAGCTCATTAAAAGATGGCTATTATTTTATAACCTCTAAGTCAGATTGAAAGCATTAATATTGCTTTGGTGAAATTATTTTCAATTTCTCAATTGAGTGTATGCTCAGTATGGTTTGAATCTGTATACAGATTAAATTGAAAACTTTTAAGTAGCTCAGGCTGGCCTTGAACTTGCAGTGACCCTCTCACCTCAGCCTCCCAAGTGTTGGGATTGCAGGCTGCACCACATCTGGTAGGATAGTCTTTCAAAAGGAAACTGCCTATATTTACCCCCAGAAGTTTTATCAAAGTTTGAGAAATAAATAAAATACAAAAATACTAATTCTGAAAATCCTAACCTGCTGTACTATATGTGTTATTATATGAGTTTAATAGGGCCAAGTGAGGTATTGACACCATGGAAGAACAAAATTCAGAAAGATGATAGGGAGCATGGTGTTTGAGTTAGGGCCTGAGGAAGGTTTCAAAAAAGGAGGTGGCCTTTGGACTTGGGTTTGAAAGATGCCTGATAATTTAATAGTTGTTTGGGCAGCTGGAAACTATGGAGAATGTTCTAGAATGAAAGAGAGCAAGAGCTGTGAAGGTGACTGCCAGGAGGACTTTCTGCAGCGGGGAGGAGCGGGGAGGAAATGGGCCTTGGGCGCACCCTGCTGTGCAGTTGGCTCCCTCTTTTACCCTCTCTGTCCTCTGACCCTCCTTTTGCTCTACTTGGAGTGACCCCTATTGAGACAGTTGGTAGGGAATAACTTTCCTTGTGCACATTAATGAGATAGCAGAAATAAAACATTTTATTTATGTGACTGTGAAACCAAATTCTCCAATGTATTGCTAAATGGTGCACTGGAATGAGTGGTTGGGGGATGTTTTTCAGGTTGAAAATATCCTGTTGCATGACCGAGGCCACTATGTCCTGTGTGACTTTGGAAGTGCTACCAACAAATTCCAGAATCCACAAATTGAGGGAGTCAATGCGGTAGAAGATGAGATTAAGAAGTAAGTTCTTCCTCCTGTTTTGCAGTTTTATCCTTTATCAGCTGAGCAGTTCTCCTTCCTGGTGATGGGTGAGACAGGCAGAGTGCAGAAGGATGGTTTTAATCAGTTGTCCCTCGTGTCAAAGCATGTTATTCACTGTTGGGTTGTTTGATTTTAAATGGAGAATAAGGAGGCCTTTCACAGGTATTGATCCTAGTAAAATAAAGGAATCTTGTAACATTTTATTAATGACCCTGTGGTCACTGTGCAAACGTATTTTGATTTACAGTGTCAGATGTCCATAATAAGCTGAGTGCTGCACACACTATAAAAGTACTATGATAGTTCCAAGTGTGATCACAACTGTGACATTATCAGTCAGACAGATGTGCTTTTATGCTGAGTCCTAAATTGCTACTTCCTGCTCATGAGGAACTTACCCAGATTAGTGGTGAGTAGGGCTTTTGAAGTCTGTACAGATACTAAACCACTGGCTTTCACCAGAGGAAGCTTCTTTAGACTTGTGCATTCAGTAAGAACCTGACTCATTTTCCCCTCGTGTCCATAGCACTGAATTTTTCACAGTTTGACTTACTATTGCTACTAGTAAGTCAGATGTCTAGCATACAGTCTTACTTTCTGATCCTGTCTCCCCTTGCATGCGTCATCCCAGAAAACCACTCAGGGGGCAGGACAGCTGGTCCAAGGCCCTGTAGAGACCTAAACTAGTCCCGGCTGGGGTTCTGAGACTGGAGCAGCAAAGGCCACATGCTGAGTGACACCACTCTGAGGCTGTACTTACACTGTTTTCTCACACTGGAGATAAAAAGAACACTGTTGTTTCAGCCTTTCTCCAGGAGCAGAGATCAAAGGCACTTGATCCTCTCCACTCCCACTGCAACCAGGGCCCACTTCCTGCTGTTCTCCGAAGTATCTTAGCTAGCATCACATCTCTGTCGAGCCACATTTAAAAGGTTTTCTATATCTTTTTTGATCAGCAAAATACATATCTGGCAAAAAGGATTTGTAAGAGAATATTTTATCATTTGAAGACCCAAGAAAAGTTGCTTTTAAAGCTTATTTAATGCCTTCGTATCTGGGTCCCAGCATGTTTTTAGATTAGGTCTGGTGCTAGAGGGCCGTGCTGTGATGATATTGTTGTATTGATGCCAGCCTTTCATTTTATTGAGGGCCATGGTGTGATGATATCATTGTACCAGTGACAGCCTCTCATTTTATGTGCATTAGTATTTCCTGCTCTTGTCTGTAGATTGCTCCCAGGGAATTGGATTTTATTAATGTAATAAAAATTTCTGCTGGTTTTTAATTATAGCATTAATTTATTTAACAAAAAATGAATCTCTCAATTGTAGATACACAACGCTATCCTATCGAGCACCAGAAATGGTCAACTTGTACAGTGGCAAAATCATCACTACGAAGGCAGACATTTGGGTAGGTGTCAACTAACCTGTGCCACCCAACATAGTGGAGGTCATCAACTGTAAACTGTCAAGTTTAATGCAGATAGTGCTGTGGCATGGTGGTGCCTGTCCATACCATTATCTTCTTTTTCCTTGAGACTATTCCTGATGTGAGGGCATCAACCTCTGCTTCTCGGAACATAACCAAGAAAATTATTTCACAGCCATGTGAAAATTATTCAGGTGGTTTCCACTTATATTTGCTAGTTCTTAAGAGCAAAAAGGTAAAACACTTGGTTGTTTTTTGGGGGCTTTTTTTGAGACAGGGTCATGCTACGCGTTTCAGGCCAGCTTTGAACTCACTGTGTAGCCCAGGCTGGCCTGGAACTCACGACCATCAGCCTCTTGATTGCTGTAATTACAGGCATGCATCACCATGCCTAGCAAAACACTTGTTCTTTATTGGAGCAAATTTGGTAACAATGGTAGAAATAACCAAGCTTCTAAATAGCTATGTTGGGTTCTAAATTCAAGTTTTGCATAACATATAGTATTTTATCTGCTAGTAAAAGTTGGTGGTGCCCACCAACATCTCCCATTAGATTCTCTTGGAGTTATGGTAAATAAACCATGAGTAGCAATCTGATTTCTTCGTTTTTCTCTAGGCTCTTGGATGTTTGTTATATAAATTATGTTACTTCACTTTGCCATTTGGAGAGAGTCAGGTGGCAATTTGTGATGGCAACTTCACAATTCCCGATAACTCTCGATACTCTCAAGACATGCACTGCCTTATTAGTAAGTATTTCACAATTTTACCCTTATATTTTTAATCTCTAATGACTAGGAATTAATTGGAGGATAAAGGAATTAGATTCCAGATATAGTAGATTGGATCCAGTGATAAAGCAATCAGTGATAATAATTAGAGAATACAAAGATAATTTAACAGTATCTACTTGTGGTGATGCGTCTTTTTGCTAGAAATGTAAACCGTTTTATACCTGAGCCAGTGACGGAAATCGTAGTTGTCTTTTCAACAGTACAGTAATACTGTGCTCTATTGCGTTCTGTACGAAAGCTGTGGTACCAAAGGTATCCAGCTGACTCGTATCAAGTGATAAGAAATTCATCTTTGCAAAGCTGGAAGCAGCTCAAATGAAAATGATTGCAGTGCATTGGCTGGAATGCATACATAATTAAGACTGTATAACTGTGGAATCAGATTTTTCCTCTCACTTAGGTTAATCACTGGATTTGTATAACAAGCATCTGAACTCAATGCTTAAGATTCTCCATTTATTTTGTGTCATCATAGCAAGCATATGTACTAGCCTCCATTAACCAGATGGTCGAATAAGTAATCTTTGTACAAGACCCTGTACTAAAATGCTAAAGAGTAGAAATTTAAAAACAAAATCATCTTTTCACTTTGGTCAAAGTGTTTAGAGTTTTAAATTTTAACCATTTGGATCATAAATCCTGAGCAACCTGATTTGGGTCCTGGGTAGGTCACACTGAAGAAACTAGAAACACCGCCTTTGAGACAGACTTGTATTTAGGGTCTTCCGGCTCATATAGGTTTTTTTTTTTTTTTTTTTTTTTTTGTCTTTTTTATGGGTACCGGGGATCGAACTCACGACTGCCTGCTTACAAGGCAGGTGCTTATGCCGCTGAGCTAAATCCCCAGCCCCCTGAGCTAAATCCCCAGCCCCTCTCATATAGGTTTTAAAACCCTGTGTAGCCAGGCATGGTGTTGCACTGCTCCGGAAACTGAACAGGACTGAGAGTTCATGAGCAGCCACAGCTTCATATTGAGTTCAAGGCCAGCCTAGATTACATAGCAAGACTGTTAGAAGAAACAAGCAAACAAACCAAAATAACCCTGTAGGTTGTTGTTCTGTTTTGTTTTGTTTTGTTTTGTTTTGTTTTGTTTTGGACAGTGCTGGGGATAGACCCAAGTTATTGTGTATGCTGGACAAATTACTACTGAACATGCCCAGCTCAAAACTATGTATATTTTAAGTGTAATTATCCCTGTCATGCAGGAAGCTGAAGCCAAGAAAGTACAGGTAGCTCATTCAGGTTAATATATTTGTACCTTTTTTATTTTTGTTTTGTTTGTTTGTTTTTTTAAGATTGAATCTCACTGTGTAGCTCAGACTGACCTTGAATTTACTATTATAGCCCTGGCTGGCCTCAAACTTGGGCCCTGCTGCCTTAAATTCCAGAGTACTGGGATAATAGGCATGGACCACATCTGCTATAGTTGTAGCTTTTTTTTTTTTTAAAGTTACAGCTTTTAAGTGACTACCTATTCCATTTGTCAGACTTATCAGCCTCTTCCAATAATTAATGAGAGGTAGGGGTTGGGGGTGTTTAAAGGACCAAATATGGCATGTTAGATTGTTTACAGAGTAAAACATTATATGTATACTAGAATTGGATGTAGGTAAGATTGGAAGGAAATACAAATAATAGCTAAATTTGATATTGCCGGTAGTATTTTTGGTCATTTTTTTCTTCTGAACATTTGTACAGTAAATTCATACTGATAAAAACAACTCTATGGATATCTTCAGTCTTTTACAGCTTTCCAAAACTCTATTTCAACTTTCAAACTATTTGAAAATCCATTACTACCCTAAACTCAGATGTCTACAGTTCTATTCTGTTACCATTGTCTGCCCCACACCCTCCCTTTACCGTTCAGTACAAGATTTTACTTTCCTGTTTTCAGTATCTCTTAGTGGTGTTGCCATTCAAGCCTCAATGCGTGAAATTTAAGATTTTCTTTGGATCAGCATAGTAAGAAAGGAAAAACCAGTCATTTCCTAAATCTATTAATTATATTTTTGGAGTTTCTATTTTCATCACTGTCACCATTGTATGCATAGACTGTCCGCTCAGGTCTGTACTCTTTACCCTTGCAGGACTGGAGATTGAACCTAGCTTCTTGTGCTCCATCCCCGGGCCTTACAAAATTATTCTTATACAACATCACCCCCTACCCCCTCATGCAGTATTCAGTAAACTTGAGTGGCTGCTTGATGGTTCTGCACAACGCAGCCAAATGCTTAGTGTGTCCTTTAAGCCCCTTCAGAGCCTGGTTCAGTCCCACCTTTTCCCAGCGCCTTCGTTTCCTTGCAGCAGACATTAATTCTCCTGCCTTTCTCCCAGGCCTTTGTTCACCCTGTCCTCTCACCTCTCAGGCTGTCTTCTTTGCTTTCCCCCTGCAGTTCTGTGCTGCCTCCCTGCCAAGCGTTCCAAGGCTGTAGCCTCATTTTCTTTTCTGAACTTTGTGTCCAGGTCATTTGTTCATTACGTAAGAAGTAAACTGCACTGCACAGTTTTGCACATTGACGTATGTGTTTCTGTTCTCTTAAAGACTTTTCCTGAGGCATTTTCCAGCTTTAAAGAGGACACAAGCTGGGCTGATGGTATAGCTCAATGGTAGAGCACTTGCCTAGCATATGTAAGGCCCTGGGTTTCATGCCTAGAACCTTAAAAGAAAATGCAGAAGCTTAAAGGCTTTATGGATCACTGATACAGTGGATTTGTGTATGTTACCTTATAATTTCTCTTAACCTAGAAACCACCTATTATCTCTAATGAAAGATTGGTAAGTGAATTCATGAAGTTTGGGTCTTGGTCATGAAAAGTAATCATTTGTTTAGCAAGAGAGTGTGTACCAGGGAAGGCATAACCAAGACCATCCTCATTGTCCGATCATGAAGGGTTAACTTTCATATTGACAGCTTAAGGGCCTGTTGTGCCACACATCAAGTAGCATTTTTACAATTAAGATAGTTTATTTTGTTTTGGACATTAACTATTACAGGAAATTTAGAACTTTTCTTTTTTAGAGAAAAGGCTAATTTTGCTTTCTGACTTTGATGAGAAATAAAAATTTAAAGAACAACAAAAGTCTGGTTATAGAAACAGTATGCTTCCTCGCTAAGGTAATAACTGTTAAGAGATTACTAAATAAGTTACTTATGTTTATCTCAGGGTATATGTTGGAACCAGATCCTGACAAAAGGCCAGATATTTACCAGGTCTCCTACTTCTCATTTAAACTACTCAAGAAAGAATGTCCAATTCCAAATGTACAGGTATGTGTATAATGCTTTAAGGGGAATTAAACGTTATGAAATTGTCATTTTGCACTCCTGGGGATATTAATCAGCAGCTTAAATGAAGGTTTCCCTTGCTTTGTCTACTAAGGGCCATTCAAGTAAAGCTAACTATGAAACAGTTGCTGTAAAGGGAATCTACTTTCCCATGGAATAGAATTTAAAACTGAAGCAGTTACTGAACACCAACAAAAAACTGTCCTAAGGATTGAGTTGAAAGCTTTTAATGAAGAGTGGGCAGTTCCATGTTTTGTCCTGGCCAGGGCCTATCACATTCCCTGGAGGTGATCAGACACTCAGCCTTCCTGAGGCAGGGCCTGGCCTCGCCCTACTGAAGGGAAAGCCCCTCCTACCAATGCTTGCTGCACTGCGTTCTTGATTTTGCTTCTGCCGTTGTAATCCATGTGCATCTTTCTCTATCCTCCCCACACGTATTAAACCATGAGCACGTTTTCTACACTTATGTAAACCCTACACTCAGTGTTCAGAGTAAAATGCTTTGCGGACACCTTCTTTATAATCTTGGCATATTTTTATGTCATATTGTGACCCAGTTCTCTTAAATATTTTACTAATGGATGCTCTGGTAAATAGATTTGAATCTGAAATTTTCCTGCTAGTTTCTCTGATGATGAACTTTCGGTGTCACACTTAGTGCTTGAGGGTTGTGATAAATAACACTTTCACTGCCGAATTTGAGTCAGCACTGGTACTCATTTAGATGGCTGGACAGACCGAAGAGAAGCAGGTTTTCCAGCAGAAGTTAGTCCCTCCTGGGAATCCAAGGAAATGAGAGGACCCTCCTAACAACCAACATGATAGCTAGTATTCTGTTTTCCAGGTGATTCAAATTGAATCAAAGGCTACCGTACAGTAATTTCATATCGCTATGTTTTTACATGTTTTTGCAGTTCCATTTTCCCAGTCACACAGTAAATAACATGAAATATAGTTGAAAGCATTCAGACTGGTAACAAGTTTTTAAAGAGTAAACTTTGTAAGTCCCATGTTGCCTTGGTCACTCTCTTCATTGCTGAGACACAGTGCCAGGCACCCACAGGTGAGGGAGGAGGAGTTCACTTCTGCTCATTTTCCAATCCATGGTCTGCTGGTTCCCAGGCGAAAGTATGTAGTAGAAGGGCCTGGGCAGAGCGAAGCTGCTTACGTCATGGTGACCTGGAAGCAGAGAGAAGAGAGGAGCAGGGAAGGAGATACACATTCCCAGGTCACGCCCAGCAAGTCATCTGTAGTGGCTCCTCGATTCAGTCACCTTCCAGAAGCTCTGCCCATAGGCCTTTGGGGGACACTCCTGAGTGTGTGTGTGGTGTGTGTGTGTGTGTGTGTTGTGTGTGTGTGTGTGTGTGTTTGAATCAGTGTTTTACTATGCAGTTTAGGCTGGCCTTGAACACACTTTTTAGCCCCAAACTCAGTGATCCTCCTGCTTCAGTCTCTGGAGTGCTGGGATTATAGGCAGGCGCCACCATGCCCGGCTGAGAGACATTCTTGATCCAAACCATAACACATGTTAGTTGGTACTCACCCAGTAGTGGTAAACCATCGAATTGCATGGTTCCATACATCTAGCTGGTGCTCCCTCGAGATGCAGTATTGGGCTGGGTTAGTGGTACATGCCTGTCATCCCAGCTAGATGTGAGACTGAGAAAGGAGGATTATAAGTTCAAGGCCAGTCAGGACAATTTAGTGAGACCTTGTCTCAAAATAAAAATAAAAAAGGCTGAGGATGCAGCATATGGGTAGAGTACTTGCTTAGCACAAGGATGTCTTGGGTTCAATCCCAAATATTGCAGGAAAACAACAACAAAAACTAAGAAGCACTAGAACCTGGAGGAACGCTCATTGGCGTGTGTAGTTCTCTGGCTTGAGGAGCTCCTTCTGCGTTAGGAAGGGATGCTGCCTCAACAGCCACAAACAGCAGGTGGCACTGGCGTCCTCCCATATTCTGCCTAGAAGACTGAATCCTGGTGGACCCTTAGGTCAGCTCTGACTGCTCTGAGATATGCTGGGAAGCTGAACAGTGCGATCTCCCTTCCTAATTCCTTTTATAACATCACTTCTGACTGGGCAGTAGGAAGAGGACAGACCATGATAAGCCCTGGTGCAGAAGGGGGAGAGTAATGGGAAGAACATATTGCACACAGACTGCTCTCTCATCTTGTCAGCCTTTGTTTCCCTGACCAAGACTGAGTCTTACATGTATTTGATTAACTTCCTTTCCCTCTAACAGGGGATCAGGGATGGAAGTCACACCAACAGATTCCCAAGTATAATGTATTTTGTTAGTCCTGTCAGGCTGGTTATTCTTTTACAAAGAGATGTGCAATATCCCTTTCTTGTTTCTTCTTTCAATGTTTTAGAACTCTCCCATTCCTGCAAAACTTCCTGAACCGGTGAAAGCCAGTGAGGCAGCTGCAAAAAAGACCCAGCCAAAGGCCAGGTAAGAAATGCCCTTGTGAGCACGCATCCTGCTGGAGGTACCGCAGCAGGGGAGGATGCCTTGTGTTTCTCAATTCTTATGCTGCCATGGCCAGAGGGTGCCCAGATTGGAAAAGGAAACTCTGCCTCTCTTCGACTGTTCTTTGGGAATGCGAAGAAGAATATAATGAAGTACTGTGATCTACATTTGGAAGAGACTCTAGAACCCTACAGCTGTTTTTCTTGTGTGGGAATAACACAGGGACATTGAGAAATGAGGCCAGGTGGACTTTAAATGTTGCTAGTACAAGTTTCCTAGCATGTGCCTGGCTTGGGATTAGCTGTGTTCACTGCCCTAATCCTCCACCTTCCTTTCCTTCTTCCCTCTGTGACTCTGGCCTTGTTAGGAATGTGCAGGACAAAGCACCAAGTTGATGAATAGCAAAAGGCACTGAGGGGCCTAGCTTGTCACTTTCTATGCCACCTAGCACACTCTAAGAAGCAGATGCTAAGAAATGATTAAATACCCAAAGATGAGAACTGCGGAAAATGCCCAAGTGAGAGAGAGAATAGGGAGAGAGGCAGGAAAGGCTGGGGGACCCACAGAAGGTCCAGCACGACCCAGAGAGAAGGAGAGTGATGGTTTGAATCCATCACCAAACATGTTAGGGAGACCTTACTCCAAAGTCAGCCAGCAGAGGGGTCCCTTTCCTTCTAGGATACCCTGCGTTTGGAATGTGAGCGCTAGGAGAAAGCTATGAGAAACATGGCTGCGGGGAAAATACTGTGTTGAATTTTTGTCACTCAGCAGCCAGTCTTTCACACTGGGTGTACTGGAGATCTGTCAGGCACATCCTCATCACTGCCGTATCCTGCAAGTGGCAAATTCTGGGGGGTGGCACAGGAGCTATGTGTGCCCTTTCTTTCCTTCCAAAGAGATGTTAACAATAAACTGTTAGCAAAGCATTCTAGATCCTTTGTGACTATGTGAATTTTAATAGAATAGTAAAATAATTTTGCATTTTAAAAGGTCTTGAATATTTATAGAATACCTACCGTATGCATAGTTATTCCAGGTGTGCCTTTAAAGAGATGTGACTTTGGGTTTTAGCAGACTTGCTTAGCAGACAAGCAAAATGTGTTGCTTGTACTATGTTGATTTCTTTTTCTCTTTCTTTCTTTCTTTCTTCCTTTCATGAGATAGAGTTTCACTGTGCAGTTCAGGCTTGAACTTACTTTGTAACGCAGGCTGGCATGTAACTCACAGCAATCCTCCTGCCTTAGCCTGCCAACTCTTTGGAAATCATTTTGCATTTATTTTATTTAGGTTAGTCTTTTGAATTTAGGGCCTTCTTATAGACCCAAACATATTATATATGGAAGCTAAGCAAGGGTGACTTTTTGTGTTTCCACAAAGGACCTAACAAACTAACATTTTGGATATGCTTTTTTTTTTGTCTTTTAACTTTTTGAGACAAGTTCTTGCTATACAGTTCAGTCTGGCTTCGAGCTCACTTGGTAGGCTGGTCTCGAGGTTGCAATGATCCTCCTGCCTCAGCCTCCCAAGTGCTGGAATTATAGGCCTGCATCACCACACCTGGCCACACAATTGTTTAAAAAGGATTTCTTAGTTATCAATGCTTAGACACATTTACATATTTTACACAGAAGGAACCAAGACAGAAAGACATGACATGGCCTTACCACACATTTAGCAGGGAGCCAAAGCTCATAGTTTCTTTGACTCTATCTTATGTTCTCCTCAGGAGAAGACGAGTGTGGAAGGTCTCACATTGAATTTCCCCAGGAGCCTGTTCACCTCCCTCACCCATGTTTTCTTGTACGTTTCTTGTGTTCTCCAACATCTATTCCATTTCCTCTCCCACCTCCCGTCTCCAGGTTGCAGCCTCCCCAGATGTGATAGCTTTTATATTCCCAGTTTTCCACGCAGTACAAGAGCTTCTTTCTAACAGGATGCAGTGAGAAGTTTGTGTATGTAAGAGGAGCATACCCTGGAGCTGTGGAAGTTAGGGAAGTACCTCAGGCAGCTCCTCTGCTTCTTGTTTTTCATTTCATTTCATGTGTCAGGTGTGTTCTGAAAATACGCGTGAAACTTGTTTATTGTGACCTTACCCTCATTGTACTCGGTGAAGTGTAATTTCAAAGAACAGTCGACTCTGATCTGAGTTAGGTGGTAGCCAGCTGCCCGGACTACTCTGAATGAATGGAAATTAGCATCTAGACTTCAGCACCATCACAGAGATCCGATGGATGACACAGCAGTCTTCTCTGCAATAGTTTAGATTAGGTTCAGCTGCTACAGAAAGGACAGTGTAACAGTGGGGTACAAACGGTATTTATTTTTTTCTCACAGTTTAACTGCTTCCGGGTGCCACATTGGATCCACTCTTTTGCTGGTCATTGTAGAGACCATTTTGGCAGCTACTCGTTCAAACCATGTTTGAGTTCCTTCTCTGTCTGAAAACCACCTGCCTCAAATCCCTCTGTGTGTAGTCACCCAGCGTATTCTCTGGGAAACTCTAGGAAGTATTGGGTGAAAGAGTCCTGACTCAGTCACTTTCCTTGTCACTGGCACAAAATACTCAGTATAGTCTCTACAATTTAAAAGGAGGAGAGGTTTACTTTGGTCTCCCAGTTGAGAAGTTTTAGTCTGTGTTTGGCAGGCTTACACAGAGAAGCGGGATGGCAGAAAGGCCTGGGCAGGGCAAAGCTGCTCCAGTCATGGCAGCCAGGAAGCTGGGAGTGAAGAGAGGATCAGAGAAGGAGGCCCACCCTCCAGGTCAGACCCCCAGTGCCCTGCCACTCAGCAGACCACACCTGCTACCAGCAAGTTAGCTGTAGCACACCCCTAATTCAGTCCCTTCCAGAAGCTCTGCCTATGAGCCCACGATGCTCTCTCAGGGGGGCATCAAGGTACAAACCACGATAGGTCCAAAGAGCAAATAAGCTTAAGAAACATTGCGTTCTGTATAGTATTCTCCTTGAGATTCAACTTCTACCTTCATACATAAAAAGTTCTGCCTGAAAGAAGTCTGCTTTGTATGTTTTGGTTAGTGTATTAAAAATTTATTTGTCCATTGAGTAGTTTCTCAATGCATTCAGTAACAACATACCATTCTGTGGTCCATCTTTTGGAAAAAATTGATTAAGCAGATCTGAAAGGTTTGAAGGAAAGTTGAGGGCCCCGTCATGTACTCTGCCCACCTCTCTTTTTTTTTTTTTTTTTTCCCCCACACATTTTAACTGGAATAAACTTTTTTTTTTTAGACTGACAGATCCCATTCCTACCACAGAGACTTCAATCGCACCCCGCCAACGGCCTAAAGCTGGGCAGACTCAGCCAAACCCCGGAATCCTACCCATTCAGCCAGCCCTCACGCCTCGAAAGAGGGCCATGGTTCAGCCTCTACCTCAGGCTGCAGGTGAGTAAGCACACTGGTTTGCAGTTCGGTCTATCTGTTTGTGATGTCAGTGTTGGAAAGCCTGGCTTTGCTGTATAGATGGAATCCAGAAGCACATGAAGAATTGAGGTGAGCCACCATTAAAACTTACGGCAAGTGGCTGTGAAGGGGAGACCTCTCATACTCTGGTGGATCTCAGAGACCACCAGAGTGTGTTGTCTCTATTTTTTTCCTCTCGGTCCTAATTTTGTAGTTTGGTCTCTTCACCCTATACTGCTGTGTCTCGTGTGTTTTTCCCTGCTTATAATAAAACTTGGCTCACCTCTTTTTGACATTCACAGAGGAAAATTGTTTAATACTTTGTGTCTTAAAGTACCTATAACTCCTTCCCCATCTTTTCACGTTCTGTTTCTGATGCGCTGAGTGAGCTGGAGGTCTCCTAACGGGGACTGACTCAGAGTGTCAAGTAACCGAACATAACTCTCAGTTCCCCTGATAGGCAGCTGCTTTCTGTAAATTTGGTGACTATCTACTCACAGCCAGGGATCTAGGTGGGGGTCGTGTAAGCTACTCATAAAACATCAGAGAATGCTTTTGTCATACAGCCTGGTGGGGAGATTGTGTTTATGTCTGGAAGCGTCAACTACCAGCTGATTGTGTAGATACTCAGGGTGTAGCCTACGAGAGTAATAAATGTCATGATGCCTAAGGGAAGACTTTCTGAAGTCTTGAAGTATTGAATCTTATTAATGAACACTGTTTAGAAAAAAATTGAAGCATATAGCATTTAGCAAGAAAATGGAAAGACTTTTGAGGTGAAACAGAGCATGTGGAAAGATAGGAGCCCATGAGAGAGGCCCTTGGGACATGCTTATTTGTTCCCCCCTCTGTATGGCTTTGGCAAGTCAGAAAGCAGTTTGTGTCTGGTGGAGTTCTGAATCCTGATACGGTTTATTCTCCTTACAGGACCCAGCAATCAGCCTGGCCTTTTGGCCAGTGTTCCCCAACCAAAAGCCCAGCCCCCTCCCAGCCAACCTCTGGCACAATCTCAGCCCAAGCAGCCGCAGGCCCCGCCCATCCCACAGCCCACACCTTCTACCCAGGCCCAGGCCACCCCCCAGCACCAGCAGCAGCAGCTCTTCCTCAAGCAGCAGCAGCAACAGCAGCAGCAGCAACAGCAGCAGCCACAGCCGCAGCCGCAGCCGCAGCAGCCAGCAGGCACATTTTACCAGCAGCAGCCGCAGCAGCCAGCGCAGACCCAGCCTCAGCAGGTACGGTGGGGACGGCAGACAAAAGGCCCGCTAGGCCGAAGTGCCTTCGTGGGGGGACACTGAGACCAGAGAGCAGTTAACCGTTGCATCATTTTTAGAGTATCTTTTAAGTCCTCTTCTAGTCATAGGTTTCCTCTTTATTTCCTTACTTTTCCATTAATGTTTTTAAAGAGACTGGGAGGGCTGGGGATTTAGCTCAGCGGTATAAGCACCTACCTTGCAAGCAGGTGGTCGTGAGTTTGATCCCCGGTACCGATAAAAAAAGAGAGACTGGGTTATTTGTTCTGAGGCATTTTCAGCAATATAAACTGGTAATTTCTTGAGAGCTATTTCAGTGTTCAGCTCAGCCTGACAGTTCTGTGTCCTTTATCTGTTATATCACAGCAGGAGGCCCGTGATGTCTGCTTGTCTTCTCTTTATTAGTATCAAGACCAGTGTGCTTAACTGTTGTCTGTCTCATCTATGTTTTCAGTGTTCCTTCTTAGCTTAGCATCTATTTATGATTATTTCGTAAGTGTTAATTCACTAGGGATGGTATAATGATATTCTAGGCTTCTCTCTTCATTTAGGGCTGGAAGTTTTTTATGAAGACTTATTTTCATCAACTATTTAGTTGTCCTGTGGTAGTTTGTACAGAAAAGGCAAGAAAAATGCTTGATCCATTCCCTTTGTTTACTAGTTTTCAGAATGATGTTTGTTCACTGTGTCATTCAAAGGTGACAGGGAGGCTTTTGTGTTATCATACATTCATGGGTTTTAAAGTATTTCTTATCGTTTTTTTTGTACTGGGAATTGAACTCAGGACCTTGTGCTTGCCTGGTAGGCACTTGTGCTGCTGAGCTATACCCTGGGCCCTAGATTGCAGTTTTTAAAGTTTATTTATTTCGATGTTCAAATTGTTCTAACTTTGGCGAGGGAAAGTCCCTTCAAATTGTCTTTTGAGTCTTTTGGATGGCATTCCAGGAATCTTTAATGATTCCCTAACCATCAAGCATTGGAGCTTGTTCTAGGATCATTGTGCCTCAATCTGGAAGCATCCATTTGTCCAAGGAGCTGTTTGTTTTAGACAGAAATGATATTTAGGGGCTGGAGATAGAGCTCCGTGGTGCAAGAACCTGCCTGGGAAGCACAAGATCATGAGTTCAATTCCCAGTACAAAAAAAAAAAAAAAAAGAAAGGAAGAAAAAAGAAATGATATTTAGAAACTGTTATAAGTCAGGCTTTATAAGGAAAACAATTTAATACAGGACACATAATTTATGGAATTATTTTATAATAGTCACCCAAAGAATCAAACATAAAAAGTTCAGAAAGTCTGTCCATATACTAAAGACCCCAAAGAATCCAACTGAGGGCCCAGATTGCACAGTAACATCCTGCATGAGTCCAGCTAAAAACCTAGAGTCTATGACAGTGCCCCCCACGAGTCCAGCTGGAGGCTTAGAGCCCACACAATGACTCATGCAAATCTATTCCATGGCTCTCTGCTGGGAAGGCCCACAGGTCAGCGATGAAAGCTACAAAGTCTATGCCAACAGGGTGAAGGATCTGTTAGTAGGCTGATGGTTCTGTATTGGAGGCAGGAAGCAACACTCAGAATGGTTACCAGAGCTCCCCGCAAAAGTCCCACAGCCATCCTCAGCGGAAACAAGGTCCTAAACTCCTCCATCCATGACAACAGCCAGATTCATGTCAGGAAGCCAGTGTGACAAGCTTCTCCAGAAATTGAACAGCGTACCATCTTCCCTCTGGAGCCAGGAAGCGATGCTTAGAATAAAGACCAAGCTCCTCCAAAGTGAACCACAGCCATTCTCAGCGACAACAAGGTCCTGAGCCCCTCTGACCATGAAAACAGCCAAGTTCACATCAGGAAAGAAGCTTGACAAGCTTCTCCAGAACCAAGGGCAACAGAGAATCCACAACACTAGGAGAACCAGCAACACCAGAAGAACCAACAACACTTCTTCCTCTCCACTTCTCCTTTTTATGTTGTTTGCAGCAATGCTCAGGTGGGCTGTCTGCATCCGGCACCGTGCTGAGTCAGTTCAGCTGGGTGTTAAGTTGACCACCAATTGTCAGTCCACCACGGAAACCTCAGTTTGGGGCTAGAGATACCCACTAATGGGTGTGTGGCTGTGCCTACGCCACTTCAGTGGACAATTAGAAAATCTGTTTTGTTTTATTAGAAAATACACATTATGAGTTCAGTTATATTTCTAATTCAGATTTGTAATTATAGGATTTCTGTTTAGCTTCTTGAACTTTGTTGTATTTTTCTTATCTGAGACTCTTTTTCCTGATTAACATAATTAATCAGTTTTTACTTTCAAGATACTCATACTAGTAATGATTACTAACAAACAATTTAGGATTTATTTTCCCTTTTACCCTTAGAATACTTAGTACATTATTTCCTGGGGAGTTTAGCTACTAATTTCATTCATAGGTTTAAATGTTTCACTTTGCTTTTGGTTTTTAGTTATTGTAATTTTGTTTTTAAAATATGTAAATCATGCACAGTTTGACAGTTAAATGTACAAAGTTCTATCTTCTGTAATACTTAAGTAGAGGTGTCCCTCATTCCTGTTTACAACTTGATACCTTTCAGGATTTATCAGTTTTCTCAACAGTTGAATTGTGTCCAGCATTTTGCTGTTATAAATAAATAGGCAGCTATTTTGATATCTGCGTCTTTTATTAACCCTTGGACTTTGCTCCCATAGGTAAACAGTATCCTCTCAATTAACTCAAATGAAGGAACAGAATTTAGAGTTTTCAGAAACAAGATCTAGTCTTTTATTCACCTGATTTTGAACAGGCCCATATTTGGAGTTCTGCTTGTTTGCACATGGCACATAGTCTCTAGCAGTGGGGATAAGAGGGACATATAAAATATGTCATAAAACTGGGCACAGTGGTGCTTCCATAGTCCTAGGTACCTGGGAGGCTGAAGCAGGAGGATTACTTGATTCCAGGAGCTCAAAGCCACTCTTAGCAACTCTTAAAAAATAGTAAATAGATAAAATAAAACAGACCACATAGAGAGGATGAAACAGAAGGACTATTTAAGCCCACAAACTCTGGCAACACTGGGAAGACCCTACACAGTAGAGGAAGAGTGGGAGGAGGAAGATGTGGTACCGCAGAGTATCCTAAATATGTTGAATATATGATCGTGTTTCATACAGATAGGGCTGTTGGACAGTAGCTTTGAGAAAGACTTGGGTTATTTTTTCATTGTCATCATTGCTTAATTCTACTCATGCCGTGGATTCTTTTAATCTTGGCTGCTTCAGAACTCTCCATAGAAAGAATTCTTTCTGTCTTTGGATGATCACTTACTTGCTTCTGTTATCACAGAGTCACTTGATGTTTACCAGGGAGCTTCTCTTGGGCTAGGCCTGGAAAACCCACTTTGGAAGTCAGGCTAGTGCAGTGGAAGAGGCCTTCCGTGTGCGGTGCTGCTGGATTAATGTCCGGGAGTTCCCATTACGAGTGTTCAGGCCTGCCCTTGCCTTTGCCTTCAGTGCTGATCTTCCTCAGCACTGAGCAGTCAGTAACGGCATTTGTGAATGTGATTCTGGGGCAGGTTCTTGCTCTCCTCCTCATGTCTTGCCGCTCTCTCCTGCGCAGTTTCAGGCAGTGCATCCACCAAGCCAACAAGCAGCGATTGCTCAGTTCCCTGTGGTGTCCCAGGGAGGCTCTCAGCAGCAGCTGATACAGAACTTCTACCAGCAACAGCAGCAGCAGCAACAGCAACAACAACAACAGCAGCAGCAGCAGCTGGCCACAACCCTGCACCAGCAGCAGCTGATGACTCATCAGGCCGCCCTGCAGCCCAAGACCGCAGTGGTGGTCCCACAGCCCCAGGCACAGCCGGCCGCAGCCCCGCAGCCAACCCCTGCCCAGGAACCTGCGGTAAGAAGCTCCAGGGCCTAGTGCAAAGGCCGAGCAAGGTTGTGCAGTGAGGACTAGGGAAGGGCAGCAGAGAGACAGCAGCTACCTGAGGAGGCCTGTGACCCGGGTGAGGCTGCCTTCTCAGCCTGCTGCTTCAGATACTGGATCTTTCCTCGGGAGACCTCAGAACAGTGCGCGGTATTCCATAGAAAGTAGTTTTTAAAAAGATGATTGTAGGCTGCCAAGGAAGAACATCCTGTGTGTCACTGTGAAACTGGGCTGCTGGAAAAAGCTATTCACTGTTTGTCAGCCACTGTGGGACACTCAAGGATCGGGGATTAGAACTAATCTCTCTTGCTTCTTCAGGGGCCACTGTGATCCGTTATGCCCTTCTTGGTCTCTGGAGGTTTACCTGGGCTCCCACCCTTATGCTGAGTCCTTGCACTGGTGTGTGTATTCTTTGTCTCGCATGGCCTTAGTACCCACATCATCTGAGTCTACTGTGCAGCACACTTCCAGGGTCTGCTTGCCTGAGACCGTTTACCATGGCACAGTGAACATCGCATGTCCATTCTTTGGAGGATCCTGTCAGTGTAGAAATCAGGCACATTTGTTTTTAGATAATAACTGAATATAGTATCAGAGCCTTCTGCTCATTGATCTCTAGGTTTCAGCATACTCAGCCACTCTTGCTTTGGTTTTTAATAAGTGACCTTTATTCTATATTCAGAGTTTTCTGAGTGATCATGATAGAAAATTCTATAGTAATAGAGAAAGGCAATTTGCATACCTAGCAATAGAGTGTCAAAGCTGCTCTCATATTCCTAGGGAGGTTCAACTGCTAGCTGAATGAAGGAAAGGTAAGGAACCATGTTTCTGAGGGTTGATTTCTTACACCAGAAAACCTCCATCTCTTTAAAAGGAAGCAGTTCCAGAAATAGGTTGTCTTTTTAAAATCTCAGATAAGTGTGTGTTCAGCATCTCTACAGCTTTCTTCCTGAAACAGCACAGTCTTCCAGCAGTTGTGTGGTATACAGTTACTCTTTATATTTTTAACAAAAGAACATTCTCCTAGTTAGTGGAAAAACGTTTTTTAAAAAAATTATTATATGAAGTAGCAAGAAGAGCTCTTGTTTTTCTCCCTCCAGGGGAGGAGTAGCTGAACGATTAAGGTATAGCCTGAACCTGTTACCATTGGCCCCCCCCACCCCCCGCCTTTTTTTTTGGTATTGAGGATCGAAACCATGACCTTGTGCTTGCTAGGTAGGCACTTGTGCCATTGAGCTAAACCTCCATCCCCTCCCCAGCCATCTTTACATTTTTAAATTTTGAGACATGGCCTTCTAAGTTACGTACGCTGAGCTCAAATTTGTGATCTTCCTGAATCAGCCTCCCAGAGTGCGAGGACTGCAGGCACGCACTACCAGGTCTGTGGATCTTAATTAGCCACTTTTGTCTCTTGATTTTGTGGAATTGGAAAACCGAGACCCAGAGTAGAAAGTGACTGCCTCAGACATACAGAGTGACAGTAACGGTGCCAAAGCAAGAACCAGACAAACCTGATCTGTGCTTAAAGACACTTATCCAGGTGCTTCAACAGCACATATACTAAAATGGGAACAATACAGAGATTAGCATGGCCCCTGCACAAAGGTGGCACACAAACTCATGAAGCGTTCCATAGTTTTTCCAATAAAGAGCTTTCCTGTAGCCCTTGGCCTTGTCCCCTGCAAAAAATAAAATACTTATCCAGAGTGATGAGTTGCCCAGCTGACACTGACAACACTTTCTGTGAGGCTCCCGCTTCTTTCCCTGAACAGTGTCCACTGTCTTAGGAATGAAGCTTAGACTTTCTGTGTTTCCCGGGTGAACAAGTGCTTTGAGTGATGTGCTCTGGGGTGGTTGGTTTAGGTGACATGGAATACAGAATACAGGAACAGACTGTGCTTGCACATGAGCCACACAGCTGTCCGGCTTCGCCTGTCCCTGTGTCACTACCTCATGAGCGATTAGGGTTTAGCTCATTGGTGGAGTACTTGCCTAGCATGCGTGAGGCACTGTGTTCCTGCCTCAGTACTACAAAAAAGGAAAACGAAATAGAGAAGCAAGTGAGTGAATTTGAAGAACACTCTGTGGCATCTTGAAGTAATAATTGCCCACGGTAAAATGGTCATCGGCCCTCAGTGTTCATGGCATTCTTAATAATAGGCCAAAAATCGAAACCACCTAAACTGTACAGGACTCCAGTGGGGCAGTCACTAAAAATCACGGTTATAAGGTCTATACAGTCATATGCAAGAAATGCTTTTAAGGTAGGGTAGCAAGGGGTGTGAAGCAGCACAACGTGTGTACTTGAAAAGAGGCATCGTTTAGGCACCACAGAGGTAAGAATAGCTGTATTACACTGGTGAAATGGAAAATTCTTCTCCCTATTTTGTTTTTAAGTCTTGTGCAAAATAAGAAGGTGTCCAAGTTTTCCTTGTATCATCTCTCTCATAATCTGTCTCTTCTTCCCCTTTCCTAATCCTGTCCTTGGATGAGGAACTACTATGATGCTGAAAAGTCCCGAGAGGCAGTCCATTGGCAGGAATTCTTTCAGTTCAGCCTGTGACCTTGAATGAGCACTGAGCCTCAGTGTGCTGTGTCTTCTCCTCAAGCGTGGGCCCTGGAGTCTCATCTTTAATGTTCCTTTCAACTTACATTCTTTGATTCTAAGTGGAAATAAAACTGCCTAACAGGTTATTGTAGCCAAACAAGTTGCAACCGTGTTGTGTTACAGATTGGATATCCTTTGTCCAAAGTATTTGGGACTGAAAGTACCTCCGAGTTTGAAATGTTTGTTACACAGATGACATGTTTTAGGTATGGAACCCAAATCTAAACACAGAATCCATTGGTTTCATATGTACTTATACATGAATCCTGAAGATAATTTTATACAGTATTTTTAGTGCACTTGTGTTTTGACTGCCACCTGTCAAATGAAGTCAGATGTGGTATTTTTTGCATGTGGCGTCATATTGGTGCTCAGAAAGGCTTAGATTTTGGAGCATTTGGAATTGCAGCTGTTCAGATTAGAAATATTCAATCTGAGGAGAAGGTTGAGGTAAAAAGGTTTAAGATATATGTATACATGTACCAAATACCCACAGTGAATGTAAACATGAGCTAAAATTTTTTTTAAAAATAGTAGCAATAATAACGAAATGGGGAAGGGTATTTACACATGGGGAGGCAGCAAAGTGGGTAGGGAGGGGAAGGGGATTTAAAAAGAACCAAAATGTATTGTGTACATCTACCTGCTCCCTAAGATAAATATAAACCATGTACTGCCAACCTGTACTAATAAAATAAAAGTTTTTAAAGAATAAATAGACAACAGGCTGGGGATTTAGCTCAGCGGCATAAGTGCCTGCCTTGCAAGCAGGCAGTCGTGAGTTCGATCCCTGGTACCGATAAAAAGGAAAAAAGACAAAAAAAAAAGAATAAATAGACAGGGCCGGGGATTTAGCTCAGCGGCATAAGAGCCTGCCTTGCAGGCACATAGTTGTGAGTTCGATCCCTGGTACCAAAAAAAAACAAAAATAAAAAACAAAAAACAGAATAAATAGACACAGAAAATGTTCAACCTGTAGCCCTGCTGGGAATATAACTCAGTGGTACAGTGCTTGCGTAGCATGCATGAGGCTGTGGGTTCCATCCCCAGTGTGCGATGGGGGCTAGAGGGTCACCTGCAATAGATTGCTGGTGTAGAAAGAGGCATCAGCTCTTCAAAGTGCTGCATATGGAGAATAGAGAGGAAGAGGGAAAATGTTCTCCAAATATTACGGAGTCTTTATCCTAAGGCAATCAACAGTGAAGTGTACTTTTCAAACTAACGAATGTCTTTTGAAATCAGCCAATCCACTTCTGTCCTTAAAGCCCTTTGGCCCCTGAGACTGCTGGCAGGTGCAGCTCGAGACTCCTACAGGATGTTGTAGAGACAGAATTTTTTGTCTTCACAGAGCATTCTGCTTCTCCCTCAGTAGGGCAGCATTGTTACCCTTCTTGTCTTAGTTCGATTGATACTAAAACGTTCTGTTTTATCATTCAGTCTGTAGTGAAGTGGTTGGTATACTGGAGAGGTAGCTGAGTGTTCCAAGTGCTGAGGACCACTTGGGGACAGGCCTCCCCAATGCTGTGAGTGTCCTGACTCAAATAGCTGGATACTCTGAGGCTGATCCCTCAGCTCTTCCAAGATCTGCCTTTGGAGAAGTGGAGTGTGAAAGCTGAGCAGCAGTGTGCAGGGCTACTCCAACCCGAGGACAGTTAAATTCCAGGGCGTCCTCTACGCCGAGTCACCGATGGTGTCCTTTTAGAGCTTTCAACGATAACAAACAGCCCACTGCTGCAGAACAGCTAGCCACTTCCCTAAGTCATTTTATCTCCAGGTTGATGGAATTAAGGAAAGGCTCCTGTGTTTTGTTGTGTTCATTTTTCTTGGTATGAGTACCTTATACTTAAGGACCATGCTTGTAGTCACAGGGAGGTCCCCACTTGTTTATTATTCTTTAATTTGGCCCTCATTCTGAAAATAGCCACATTTCAAACATCCTTGTGTTACTAGCTCAGTCACCAAAAAGCACTTTTCTTCTTTCTTGTGTTTTCTGCTAGCTCTTCAGTGATGTTCTTAGAGATGAGAACAAGCAAATTTCACTGAATGAGTGTTGTACATTTTCTCAGAGATTGCCACAGAAATAGAATCTTAGAGACCTATCCTCTCAATGAAATGAAGAGCTTTAATAACAGAACAAAAAAAGTGTTACTATGTTTCAGTCACTGAAGAATTTTGTCTGATCCATGCCTCTTTGGCAGCCTCAGTGATGGCAGAGTCAGGGCCTCTTCGAAATCATTCAGCTTAAATGCATTATAGCTGGAAGTGTGCATTCTTTGGCTTTTGACTGCAGTGAATGGTAAGATTAATTGCCTGCTCTTTGGGAGCATTTTGAACAGTTGCTGTGACTCCAGAAGCTGAAAGAGGTCCTTTCTGATAGTCTTGCTGTTTAAAGCTAAGAATATCTTCTGCAGCTGTCAGCTCTGAGCTAAATTTCATTGTGATTATCCTATGTATTATTGCTCATGAAAACTCAATTTATGTGTAAGTGCCACGTGAATACTCTTTTGGTATCAGTCTGAGTCACAGCTCAGATTATTAGAGCCTGTTTTTTTCTTTCTGGATGTTATCAATAAATTTAACCATTTGAGTCCTATGTTAGCATTTATGTGGCATTTTTTTGTTATACTTATGTGTTTATTTTCCTTTTCCTCCTTTGTTTGTTTGTTTGTTTTTAATATTGAAACATTTTCTATCTCTTTCCCTAATAGATTCAAGCTCCACTAAGACAACAGCCAAAGGTTCAGACAACCCCACCTCCTACCATCCAGGGGCAGAAAGTTGGATCTCTCACTCCTCCTTCATCCCCCAAAACTCAGCGTGCAGGACACAGGAGAATTCTCAGCGATGTAACGCACAGCGCAGTCTTTGGGGTCCCTGCCAGCAAATCCACCCAGCTGCTCCAGGCCGCTGCAGCTGAGGCCAGTTTAAATAAGTCCAAGTATGTGGCGCTTCCCCTTTGTTGTTCTTAACCTTGTGAGCGACATCTGCCCTGGGCTGTTTGTTATTCTGTGGTTCTTTGCATCAGTATATGTGTGTGTACATATATGTATAGTAGTGTATGTTTGTGTTTGAAAGCAGCTAATTCATATGTGTACCAGACTGATCATAAGAAATGATTTCCTACTTGGCCCACTGTTTTTATTGTCTCATCTGTTCCATGGTCTGCAGAGTACAGTATTTTCCAAACTCTCACTCTGACCAACCCTTTCCATGCTGAAAGTCTCTCATTTGCCCCCGTTTCTTTCTGTTTTTTTTTTTTTTTTTTTTGTTTTTGTTTTTGTATCAGGGATCGAACTCACAACCTCACACTTGCTAGGCAGGCACTGTGCTGCTGAGCTGCATCCCTGCTCCGCATTGCTTGTAGGATGGTACCCAAACCCACTGTGCCTCAGCAAGGCCTGTGACACACACACGTGGATTCGCTACTTTCTATCTTCACAAACCCTTGGCTTAATTTTTGCTGTCTCCTGGGACTGCTGTTCTTGTCTCCAAAGAAATGCTCATTTATTTTTCAAGGTCACATCAGAGATAATCTTTTCTTTGACCCTTCCTTTGATATATCATTGTTTATGATTTTTTGAGCATGTATCACATTGCTTTTTCATTAGTTATTTGTATATCTGGCTGACATAGCCTATGAGTTCTGCTAAGCCAAGGAGTTTGTTTTAGACAACCTTTTTAAACAAAGTGGTTGGCTATGTGTCTGATATAAAACAGATTTTGGTAAGAATTGTTTGATTAAATGCAGTTTCCTACCCTCAGTGGTCTTGGGATCATGTACTCTAAAGTTGAAAAATCATCAACTCAAAAGAGACTGCAAGAAAAGTAATACCTTGACACACAAAATAGTAGTAACTGTCTTTCTTTCTTCTTGTGGTGGTGGCTCGTAATGCTGTGCATATTAGATCCTGAAAGATGAAAGGCAGCCTTACATAGACTTAGTCCTAGTCTTTCAGAAATCTGTTGTAGATATTATGGTCACCACAGCATACACAAACCTAAAAACATGGTTCTAAGGGATCTTAAACTAAAGGGTGTTGCAGATGAGACTGAAAAACTAAGCAGGAGGTTAAAGAAGCAGTGGAAGACATAGCAGTTATGACAGGGAAGAGATGACAGTTTCACAGAGTAGAAAGGGAGTATGTGGAAATCAGCTGTGGTGGAAAGACCTTTTTGGTAAATACAGTGGAAAATGATGCTTTGACTCAGAGATGAATTTGGTCCTGGAACCAAGAGAAAATAGTTTGGCCCTTTTTGTTTTGTCCAACTTTTATATGCATTTTTATTTCATGGGGATGGGAACCTACCTAGGTCTGCAACCACCACTCCATCAGGCTCTCCTCGGACCTCCCAACAAAACGTCTGTAATTCTTCAGAAGGTTCTACATGGAATCCCTTTGATGATGACAATTTCTCCAAGCTCACAGCTGAAGAACTGCTAAACAAAGACTTTGCCAAGCTAGGGGAAGGTGAGGAAGTCATATTTTTTTTTTCTATTCCTTATCAGTGCATATTGCTTTCATATGGATTTCATTTGTACATACATTTAACGTATTTTAATCATTCCTCTCTTCCCTCATCCCTCTTCCTCCACGCTACCCCCTAGTTTCACCTTTTGGAGGGAGTGGTTTCAATGTGTATAGTGTATTTTGATCATATTCATCTACTGTGTTAGGTACCCTTGCACCCTTTTACCTTCCCCAATAAGTCTCCCTTCTTTCTTGCTTTTTTATTTTTATTTTTATTATTTATTTATTTATTTATTTTATCGGTACCAGGGATCGAACTCACGACTACCTGCTTGCAAGGCAGGTGCTTATGCCGCTGAGCTAAATCCTCAGCCCCCTGCTATCTTTTTTTAGATTCTACACATTAGGGTGAACATGCAACATCTGTCTTTCTGAATCTGGCTTATTTCACTCAATATGATAATCTCCACATCTACCTATTTTCTCCAGATGACAAAATTCTAATTTTTTTTTTTGTGGCTGAATAATACTCTGTTGTAGTCAGGTGTGATGGTGCATGCCTATAATTCCAGCACTCGGGAGGCTGAGGCAGGAGGATTGTTGCAAGTTCTAGACCACCGTGGGCTACACAGTGAGCTCAAGGCCAGTCTGAACTGCATAGCAAGACCCTGTCTCAAAAAGGCAAAATGATGATGATAATAATAATGATAATAATGATAATACTCTGGGGTTTTTTATCTTTACCTATTTGTTCATATGTGTGTATATTATGTATATATGTAAACATGCAATTATTTAAGTATTAAGCCTTTGGAATGGTATAGCTGGATCAGATAGTAGCTGTATTCTTAGATTTTTGAGGACGCTTCCTACTGATTTCCATAATGACTATACTAATTACATTACCACCAGCAGTATTAGAAGGGTTCCTCTGTCCCACATCCTTTCCAGCATCTATTGTTTTTTGTATTCTTGATGACAGCCGTTCTAACTGGCGTGAGATGGAATCTCAATGTAGTTTCCCATTCAAGTCTTTTTCTGTGATTCTTGGTTGTGAATTTTCTGTACTCAGAAATAGTCAGGGGTTAGAATGAATTTTGGCTCTTGAGATGTGTTTGTGCACATTGGGCCTGATCCTCAGAGACTTGATTCCCACGTATGCGTGCAAACCAACCTTTATTTTTTTAGAGTACCGAAGTCTTTTCATCGTCAGGAAATCTTGAACTGTTAGAGGAGATAGCAGAGAAAGACACTTTCTTTTTTTTCTTTTTTTATCGGTACCAGGGATCGAACTCACGACTGCCTGCTTGCAAGGCAGGCGCTTATGCCGCTGAGCTAAACCTCCAGCCCCGAGAAAGACACTTTCTAAAAAAGAATAATTATGTTTATTTGGGGATAAAATAGCACTGCAATGGAAATATGCATGCCATAATAAATCATGAGCACATTTAAAGGAAGTTGAGGCAAGAGAAAGTTATTAAAATTGAAATGAGAATTATATAAGATATTTTGAATAGCAATATTTGATTACAAGTATTAATAACAAGGGTGATGCCAGTCTAAATGTAAACAAGCAGCTGCGGGCTCATGTCCTTGAAGGAGTATTTTTTGTGTTAGTTGTGGTAGCCTTGTGCAGTGTTGTGGATTCAGCAGTCTTTTGTGGTTAGTTCTTGTTGGCAGACACATATACATGAGACCTTCTTCAAAGCTTCCACTTTATTTTTTTGTTAGAGTTGACACAAGTGATTTGAGTTTTATTCTTTTTTCAGTACGCATTTGCTGAATGTAATGCTTAGGTTCATCACGGGAAGCTGGTGCGTACACATCTTCTTTCATCTCCTTTCTCTCCCCCTCCTCCCTTCTCCCTCCATCTCTTGTCTCCTTTCCTTTTTCCAAGATCAGTCCCCATTATAGTGAAGAAACTTTTAGGAGAGATTCGGTGGCATAAAGCAGGGTAATGATATGAAGCAGGAGGGCTGTGGTGACCTCCTCCTCCTCCTCACAACTGGATTTATTATTCAAGAAAGTAGCGATTACTTGCCCATAAGAGTGTTCCCTCACACAGGTAGTGTATCGCTATGAATATAGTTTTGTGTTATTGTTGATTGACACAGAAAAGCGGTTTTGTAAATAAGAGATAAAATTCTAGCTGGCTGTGCTGGTACATTCCTATAATCCCAACAACTTGGGAGACTGAGGCAAGAAGGCAGCTTGGCAAGGCTCTGTCTCAAAGTGAAATAATGAAGACGCCTGGGATGTAGCTCAGTGGAAGAACTCTTGCCTAGCATGGTTTCAGTCCCTAGTATTGCCAAACTATAAAGAGAATCACTTTTCCCTTCAAAATTCCCCATCTGATATGGAAGGCAGGACACATATGCACGTGCACACACTTTGGAACAATAGATGCATCTGGGAAAATTCTCTGATAGGCAGTTGGAAAAGAGTGCCCTCAATTTATACAACAACAACAGGATAAGAGAATGGTCAGAACTAAGGGAGTGTTTTGAACTGCTGACCAAGCATGTTAGCTTTGGCTGTTATTTTATTTTATTGTTTGTTTGTTTTGTACTGGAAATTGAACTCAGTACCTTGCACTTACCAGACGGATGCTGGGCTACTGAGCTGTGTCCCCGGTCCTTGGCTGTTATTTTATTAAAAACCCATATTACTTTCCTGCTGTTTTAAACAGAAGATGAGGACATAAGGTTTGACCTTCTTTGATAACTCACTTTTGATATTGTTTGTATCAGTTCTTGTTCTGGACCATAAATAGAAATACCTTCAAGGGTTACTGGAAACTAGTTTTTTATACCTAGGTAGGCCCCAAAGTTTGCAAGTCTCCAGTTTTTAGTAACTTGCTCTTTCCTTGCTGTTTATCTCTTGGCTTTCACGCAGCACCCTGTCATCCCAGCTGTCCTTCATAGCGTCTCACTGCTGCCGTCTCTGCCGCTCCCGGTCCTGCTTTCCTAAACTACTCCCCACATGGAGCTCGGATCATTATCACATTAGTTACATAAACTAAGCTTCTGTCTGCCGGCTGAAGGCATTCTGGTCTGAGGAACGCGCTTGAGCTTAAGGGGCTAGTTCTGTGGTCTCTCATTTTTTTTCTTTTCACTTACTTACCTTGAAAAAATCTTAATTTATTATAATACACCTGACATAATATTTACCATTTTAACCATTTTTAAGCATCTAATTCAGTAGTACAGTGGCACACTGTTGCACAACCCCTCTCCTGAACTCTTGTCATCTTGTAAAACTGATGTGTAGTCTGTTGACCCTTAAGAGTTTCATCCTTTTCTTAGTGGTTTCCGTGACTAAACCAGGACCCTGGAGTAGCCCAGGTGTTGTCATAGTGGGGTAAAAGGCAGTCAGAGATTGCTCTTCACCCTTGCTGTGCATGTGCCTCTCAGGATTCTGGAAAAAGGAACCTAGCAGTGTCTTGTCCTTTCAGGCAAACATCCCGACAAGCTCGGCGGCTCAGCAGAGAGTTTGATTCCAGGCTTCCTGCCGACCCAGGGCGATGCTTTTGCCACTTCCTCATTTTCTGCTGGAACTGGTGAGTATGGAACGTACCCGAGACACACGAGGCTCACTCTTGTCAGTGCACAGTTTTCCTCTCCACAGGCAGCACTAGCACACCAGGGAGCACCGCCCTGGCAGGAACTCCTGTCTCCCTCATTCAAAAGTTGTGAATCAAAAACAACCAGAGGAAGGGTCAGGATCACTTTGAATGAAAATGGGGGGAATGATCTGGCAGTAATATGCAGGGCTTGTTCTCATACAACCAGGACGTGGCATGAAGAAATAATTGTAAATGTGAGGAATGGCACTCTGGTGCTCTCTTGTCAATGCATAGGTTCTTTAGAATAACTTGAAGAGTTCTAAGAATTAGATTTTCTGTCTGATATCAGAGACTCTAAGCTATGTTTATATGTATGTTTGCTTTGGGGGTACGAAAAATATCTTTAATTGAGTTTGGTTTTAAATTATAGAAGCAATAATATGAGACTTACTTTCCCTTTATTAATTACACTTTTTATGTTACAATTTATACACGTTTATCATATAAAATAATTTATAGAGAAGGAAGTTAAAATCCCCATGAGCTTACCACCATCTTGATGTCTGTTAGGTATTAACATGCTCATAATGGGGCCATAATTTATGTGTCTCTCTGCTGGAAGGCTCTGATTTCAATTCCATTGTCTGATATTAAATAGCCTAATGGGATGGTCACGCAGTCATACATGTACACTATTGGTTTGAGTCAGTGGGAACATATTAACCTTTTAGAGTCATGGATGTCTTTATGAATCTGGTGAAAGTTGTGTATCTCCCCAAAGTGCATATGACCACAGTTTGTACAATTTTAGGCCTCACTTAAGACTGATATATCTGTGTATATATATATATTCATATATATGTCATATATATTTTTAAAAATATTTTATACTTTATATTTTTTATTTTATATATTTACATATTTATATATTATATATAATATATATTTATATATTTTATACTTTAAAACCTAGTTTCACTTTATAAATCTGACACATTTCCCCCTCTCATTAAAGAAGCTCCTAAATGTTAGTTTTAAAATGTCTGCATTATAACTGGGCATGGGGGCCATGCCTGTAATCCTAGCACTCAGGAGGCTGTGGTAAGAGGATCACCATGAGTTCAAGGCTGGGATACATAGTAAGGTCAAGACTAGCCTGAACTGCATAGTGAGACCCTGTCTCAAAAATCCACTAAAAAATTAATAAAATAAAATATATTTACATTAAATTTCTTAATGTAGACAGCTACTAATATATTTAAATAAATTCCTCTTTTCTTTGCTTTGCTTTTTTTGTACCAGAAATTGAACTCAAGACCTCTGGCTTGCCAGACATTCCTTCATTTCTTAAAACATTATCCTAAGTGTTCTTCTACTATAAATACTTTAGCAGTGAGTGGTCATTTCTCGTACTAATCTTTCAGGAGCTCTGCTTACGTATGTAAGCATCTTCATCAGTCTGTCACTTGTACTTAATATGTGCTCATCTAGTCCTTGCAGCCCTTGAGATTGGCCACGATCCCCACATGATTACAGCTGAGACCACTGAGGCACAAGAGAGTGTCTTTTCCAGGGTTGCCTGAGAGCAAGTGAGAGAGGTGCCTCTCAGGTTTTCTGCCTCTTAATAAGGCAAATTTTAAAATTTTCTTTTTCTAGAAAGTCATCCACAGTTTTAAGATTTTCAAATTGAAAAAGAACATTACATGTGGTGAAACTTTCATAGTATTTTCTTTATGTGCATCAATTTTGGTCATATGTATTGTGTGTTTCCTAGTAACTGTAGCTAAAGATTTACTCTTCATATCTTTTTAAAAATGACTCATAGTTTTATAAAATCTATAGTTTTGGAGATTTCAGAGGTTTTTGTTGCCATGTGGTGTGATTGTACATCATGGTAGCAAACACATAGCAGAACAAAGCTACTCACTGGACCACGATACAAAAGGGTTTGAGAAGAGACTGGGCCCCCCTGTCCTTTTTGATGACATGTCTCAGATGACCCAAAACCCACCTCTCAAAGTTCCGAACACTTTCCAATAGTGCCAGACTGAAGGCCAAGCTCATAATATATGGGCTTTGGGGGACATCCCAAATCCAAACTATAGCAGGGCGTATGCAAAAACAATAGTCCACGTAACAGTGTATCAGGGATACCGCACTACTATCATATAAAGCATCTTTACTGGAGGTAGCTGGATGCAGAGTTCATTCTGTATATGTTGTCATTCTATAATTCTTTGTCATAAAGCATTATTCTAAAACACGGTTTTAAGAGGGAAAAATAAGATTTTAGTGAAGGAACACACTGAATACTGAAGCAGTGTGAAGAATGATAGAGTAGAAATAGTCTCGGGTTCTGATCCTAGTTCTGCTGGTGGACCACTGGCTAATCTCTTAAATTTGGGGCTTTGTTTTCTCTCCTGGAAAATATGAAAATTGTGTACAAAATTCTAAAACAGTTTCAAACTCTTGTATTCTTTAGGGTATGTATATTTCTGTAAATCTGTAGTTTGCTAAATGAAGAGTAAACTACATTAGATACAGTCCAGAGTTTAGAGTTTATCTAACCCCACGGTCCACAAGAAATCTGTTTCTGCCTTTTCCCATGTGTTTGCCTACTATTCTGATAGACATTATGGAAATATAATAAGATGTAGTCCCTAAAGGGCCTGCAAGAATTAGTGAATGCATAGGAAATAGTCATACGCATGTGCTAGTGCGTACATAACAAAACGTGTAATGTGGACAGTAATTCCTAGAGAAATTCTGAGAAAGATGCCTGTACTCTGCAGTATCCAAGGAAGAAGTTCACACATATGAATATCCTGGCTTGATGGTTCATTGCATCTCATCGTGTGTTACCAGGACCACATTGTACAGCTCAGATACTTTGCTATTACACTGGGCTGTTTCCACTTTCTCCCTTTATTCCATCTCTAAGTTTGAACTTAATCTATGATTTAAGCTGTTGGGTTAATAGATGGTAAATTCCTCTAGGTTTACGTGATCTCTGATTTTCTTATTTTTCTCTCCTGGCCCTCTTTCCCCTCCACCCAAATCCAGCTGAAAAAAGGAAGGGTGGGCAGACTGTGGATTCTGGCGTCCCACTTCTAAGTGTGTCTGATCCTTTCATTCCTCTTCAGGTACCTGATGCACCAGGTAGGTAAATAGAACTAACATAAGGTTAAGCAGCTTGATCTTTATGTCTCATGACCTCTGGAGAGCTGTTTTAAACATTTCATGAAAAGGATATAAATTTAATTTTTTATTTTTAAGACAGGATCTTACTATATAGTGCAGGCTGGCCTTGAATTCACTTAAGGCCGGCCTTCAACTTGTGGCAGTTTCTCTCATCTCAGTCTCCTGGCTACTGGGTTTACAGGTGTGTGCCATCATGCTTAGCTTCTATATCTTTATTGTGTCTCAGTAAAAAGGACAGACTTACTTAGAAGGCACAAACCAATTGTTGGCAACGATAGTAAAATCAGTATATGGTAAAATCTATATACCTAACAGTGTTCTGTTTTTCATCCTTAGTTGTGTTTATGGCAGTGAGGAGCCTATACATCAGAAAGAACATTAATACAATGTGATTATAATAATGTAGTATAGAACATATAAAGATATGATAAGAGGAACAAAATACAAACACTGGGTATAGTGTTACGATGGGATTGTGGGTAACTTCCTGTGCCATTCCTATTTTTTATAAGGGGCTTATACATAATAAAAAATACATAGTAAGGCTCTGCCACTTCCCAAAAGCTTTCTGGCCTAGATCCTTTATCAGTAAAGTAAGTCACAAGAGTTCACATACTGCTATTTGCCATATTCCCTGATTTTTGAGGATGTAGTTTGAAAAGTTAAGAAATAGCCTATTCTGATGGAAACAGCTTTTGAAATAATTAGATGTTTTCTGTTTGTAGTTCATGACTACCAAATACTCCCTTTCTGCTCCCCTCCCTATGCTGCACTGTTTTGGCGGCAGGGGGGTGCGGAATGAAAGTCTCCTTTTCTGATAAAACAAATCAGTTCAATTCCTTAAAAGCAGCTGGTGGGTCATTTTGCTTCATTTTCCCTGTTTTGTCATTCTTACTCTTTTCTTGACATTGAGTAGTTTTTTTCTTCTCTTCCAAAATGTTAAAGACATTTGATTGTTTGCTTCATGATTGGAAGTGATTGTATTGTTCGTATCTTTTGCTTATTAAGATGGGCTACAGCTAGAGTATAAGAATAGTTTTTGTTTTTTAGGCAGTTTGTTCACCCTTCTAAGGGAAGGTAAACACTCGCCTTGATCAGGTGGTGGTGTGTAACTTTATCGCTTATTGGACCTGGATGTAGCTCAGAAAATATCTGAAATCAGCAAGGAATGATTCAGTAGAGGCTGGTTAAAGAAAAGAAAAGAAAGGCATCAAGCAGAGGCCCTTTTCTGTTTTATAACCTTCACATATGCCTGGCCAATCCTAAAAGGTTTTGAGCAGGTTGGAAAGATGTGTACTATAAAGTTAAGCTGGGGCCTGCTGGCCTCTTTCCTCCCTGCTACAGAATCAGATGAGGCCAAAGGGGCTACGGAGCATTGTGCCTTTGACACCCCCTTGTTTTGCTGTGGCTAACATAACCTACAGGCTGCAGAGAGAATGGGGGTCCTCAGGCAAGTAGCTGTCCTTTGCAGTTGTTGCAGGAGCTCTGTGGATCAGGGCCGTTGGGGATCAGGGACACAAGGTTGTTCCAGGTTGTGGAGACAAATCTGGGGCATCGGAGCCAGCTAGCTACCATCCTGCCCTCTATCACCGTCTTTCCTGTCTCTCAGTCTGCCCTGCCTCGCATTCTGGAGAATTCCTGCAAGTGTTAGTGGTGGACACATTAATAATCCAATGAAGCTTTGAGCCCTCTTGGATTTTAATGGAAAAATCTATTAAAATAGGACATTTTAACAGAGAATTCCAGGAGTCCTTTGCTTTGCAATCTGTCAGACCAGACCCATTTGCTGGAAACATAAACCAGGCACCTTAACTCCTTTGTGCTTCGGTGAATTCTCATGTCCCTGGACATGGAACTTGTACTTCTTACTCCCACCTTAGCCCAGAGCACTCTTCTTCTTAGTCTTTTCTTTTGTCCGGCAGATTAGGCTTATTCCTGCCTGAGGACTCTTACCCTTGCTGGTGTTGTGCCGGACAGACTTCTCCCTCAAGCTCTATACCTGTGTCATTTGACACTGAGTCTCAGCTGAATTAAATGCCGTCTTCCCAGAAGAGAGGCCCAGGGTGGACCCTCAGGCACTCTTGATGGTACCTCCTGGCTTTTGTCTTCACAGAATTCATCAGGACACTGTGTGGTTTCACTTGTTCATTGTCTTTGCCCAGTTAGTGACCCAAGGGAGGAGTCTTGTCTGTTTTATTCTCCACTGCGTTGCCAGTACAGTGCAGCCAGGCATAGATGGCATTCTGAATATGTGCAGATCGAATGTATGGCTGAAATGAAACCCAAGGTGAGAGCCTTTTAATGGCCCCATTCACCTTAAATTCTGTCCCCATCTCCCAGATGCCAGACTGATGGCTCCATAGCCTTCTATCTGTGCCTATACCAACCTCCAGGCAAACTGCTCACCTGCTCGGCAGGTGAGTAAAGGAAGCCACAGCCTGTAATGTCAGGAAGCTGCCAAATCCTGAGCTGATAGAAAAAGTAAGGAGGCTCAGCAGACCCTATCGCTCTGTCGTTTCACGGTTCCCTCATGCCCATCTAAGTGTGGCATAGTGCTGCTGTATCGTCAATGCTTTTATTTACTTTAATATTCAGCCTCTAGCGTATTTGGTTCCCCTGTATCAAGGTCTCTACATCCAGCTGTACATCCAGCTGGCATGGTGGTACACATCTGTAATCCCGGCGCTTTGGGAGATTTAAGGCAGGAGAATCAACAAGTTCAAGCCTGGGCAACTTAATGATTTAGCAAGACCGCGTCTCGATAAGTAATAGAAAGAGCTGGGTGTAGCTCAATGCAAAGGCTGAGTTCAAACCTCAGTACCTGTCCTGCAATAAAAAAGGAAGTTCTTGCTTCCCTCTTTAGCATCTTGAAAAGTGAAGTAAGGAAAGGGCTCACGGTTCAGTGCTGCTAGGATCCAGCATCTGCTTTTCCATCTAGAAAACCAGCTTTCGCTCCTCCAGCTCACTTTGGACACCAACCAGATTTTCTGGTTTATTTCCCAGACCTGCTCATCTTATATGCTCAGCTGTCATGATGATAAGAATTGTGGAATCGTAGTGTCCTAAAACAGCAGTCAAATGGCTCTTTTCATTCTTGTCTGATGTCCTTTGCTATTACAGCTCCTCCTGAGTGGTAGATGGTAGACAGGTCAGATAACATCTTTATTCAGGGTAGGGAAGTGAGGCGTCAGGGCTTTTCTTACTGTCCGGCTGGGTATCACCCTTTCCATTTCCTCGACCCCTGTGGAGGTGTCACAGGTCCCTTTATCCTGTGGGATATGTTTCAGATTAGTAAAGCCTTTGATGACACAGCTAAACTTAAGGTTTAGGGAAATACTGTATAAAAATGCATGTGAACCTCTGGGACATGGGCCTGAACAAGTAGTATAGCTAAATGATTTTGGTTAAATCACTTAAATTCTTATGCTCGTATCTGTAAAATTGATAGTATTAAAACTAATCATATGGGGCCAGGCGTGGTGGCTCACACTTGTAATCCCAGCACTCGGGAGGCTGAGGCAGGAGGATCGTTGTGAGTTCGAGACCAGCCTAGACTACAAAATGAGCTCAAGGCCAGCCTGAACTGCACAGCAAGACCCTGTCTCAAAAAGACAAAAAAAAACTAATCATATGGGGTAGACATGAGGTTCAGATGAAATAATGTATCTGAAATTGCTTTGTAAACTTTAAATTACTATAAAGATGGAAAATGGGGAAATGCTGTTACATCTTTAATTTTAGGTTCTTATTTTCAATGGGGCAGTCCTACTAAATTTCCCTAATCTTTGACTTTTATATAGCTGAGAACCTTTAAAATAGGTTTAACTGGATACCATGATTATCAAACTATAGATAAAAAGACCTTGAATAATTGTGTTTTGTTCAAGGGCTATTTTTATTTTCTAAAGACCCATACAACAATTTGTGTGTGTGCAGAGGGAGTCTAGAATATTAAAATCACAACAATGAACATTTGTATGCTTCTAGTGCTGCCAAATGGAGCACAGCTGGTGAATCTCCAGCTACTTCACTGAGGCACTTATGCTGCCTGGTCATGTATCTCGCCTTTTACCTGCACTAGAAACAGATAAGCCGTAGGTGGGCTCCCAGTGTTAACATACGGTAGAAAAGAGTGAATGTTTTTCTTTGAAAATTTCATGAAAGTTTTTAATCAATTAGTTTTAAATTACTGTTTTTAAAAATGAAATATTTTCTAACTTTTTTAAAATTTAAATAAAATTTACTGTTTTAGCCACTTTACATGTACAGCAACCATCATGATGATCTAACCACACAACTTTTTTATCTTGCAAAATTGAAATGTCATACCTGTTAAACAGTAGTTCTTTATTTTTTCCTGCTCCAAGCACTTGACAACCACTATGCTGCTTTCTGTTTTCGTGAATTTGACCACTCGAGGTACCTGATGTAAGGAAAATGATGTGGTATTTGCCCTTTTAAGACTGGCTTATTTCACTTACCTTAATCAGGATTCACCCATTTTTGTATTGTCAGAATGCCCTTCCTTTTTAAGGAGTTATGTTTCATTGTCTGTACCACATTTTGTTTATCCATCTTCCCACTGACAGATATTTGAGTTGCTTCCATTTTTGACTATTGTAAATAATGATGGTGTGAACACGGGTATACAAATGCCTCATTGTGATCTTTCTTTTTTTATTTTATTTTTTATTTTAAGGAGGGTAAAATTAAATAGAACAAAACAGATTATAAGAAAACAATTTAAGAAACACAGATTTCAAAGCAAGACCACCAGAGTTCTTCACTATCTATCATATTGTTCCTTGTTTTCTTCCAAATAGTTGTCCATATCTTCACACCCAGTGAATTCATACTGAACAAAATAGTACTAAACTGATCAGAACAGGATGATGAAGGCATTTTAGGTCTTCAAGACCAGACAATAGGGAAGTCAGCAGTGGCTGCTGTAATGTCTC